TGCAATACCTTGCATTATCTAAATTGAACTCCATCTGCCATTTTTCAGCTCATTGACACATTTGATCAAGATCCCTTTGGAATCTTAGAAAACATTCTTCACTGACTACTATACCACCAATTTTGGTATTGTCTTCAAAATTACTAACCGTGCCTTCTCATCCAAATCATTTATATAAAATGTCAAAAAAATCCCTGTGGAACACCACTGGCAAAAGGCATCCAGTCTGAAAAACACCCCCCCACCAACACATTCTGTCTCCTGCCATTAATCCAATTACATATCCAAATTGCAAGCTCACCCTGAATCTCCCATGTGACCTAACTTTATTAATTAGCCTACCATGCAGAACCTTGTCAAACACTTTACTAAAGTCCAACTAAACAATATCAATTGCTCTGCCCTCAACGTTTTTGGTAGCTTTCTCACAAAACCATGCTGACTATCCCTGATCAAATTTTGCTGCTCTAAACATCCATAAATCCAATCTTTTAAAATCACCTCCAACAATTTACTCACAACCAAAGTCAGACTCACAGGTCTATAGTTCCCCAGTTTCTTGTTACAACCCTTCTTAAACAAGGTTTCAATGGTAGCCACTCCCCAGTCATCAGGAACCTCACCTGTAGTTATAGATGATGCAAATATTTCTGCAAGTGGTCTTGCAATTTCCTTCCTTCCTTACTTCCTACAACTTCTGTTATCATAAAAGTAGCAGCCATTCAGCTGTTAAAGGCCACTCCACCATTAAGTCTTGCTAATCTTCTACTTTATTGGTGCCCAAACTGCAGCCCATTAACCACCCACATCTGCTTTAATGGTAGACAGATGGACACCTCATTGTTTAGGGTACCATGTTAAGTACAAACGAAGATGTCCTTTCTTTCCCTTGTGCATTGCTATAGGTTCACAGATGAGCCTACCATCAGCAACCATGGGAGAGAAGCAGTCTGTGATTGGAGGAGCAGTGAGCAGCCCCAGGACTGGAGTTATGGTGATGACTCTGGGAATAGGGGGCTTTCAGGGAGACTCAGATGGCAAAGGGGAACTGCAACCTGGGCTATTACAGTGAGGGGACAGGGAATGATAGTTGGGCTTCTAGTTGTTTTTTTAATAAGTTACATTGAAGTCTCCAGAGAATACTTGACCATTTTCATTTTTAAGCAAAATGTTTAGTGGTGGAAACTTGAGTGCAAAGTTCTGTGGATAATTTTCTTGAAGTTATAGGGGGAAGAATAAGACCAACAGAATGAAGTGGTGTGGGGTGAGGGTATAGAGAAAGAGCAAGGATTGAGAAAGAGAGAGATAAAAAAATGAAAAAGATGAATGTGTGGGAGAGAGAGCTACTTGTGAGAGAGGGATTCCCCCAAGCTGAAAGTCAGCTCACTTCCAAGCTCCAATCTCGTGAATTCTCACCAAGGCCAGCTTGGAATGTTTCCCATCAGAGGTGACACAAGGTCAGTGTTAGTGAAACCCAACTCCTTAACTTGGGCCCAATCACTATTCTACTTCCCTGGTGACCATGGACTAGAGCTGACTCTTTTTCTTCCTTTTCTAGCTCTGCTTCTTAACCAAAAAAAGGCAAAATTGGCTTTATTATTAGGCTTTGCCACTTGGCACTTTTTAAATAGTCACTTCTATTAATTACTGATTTAAATGATCAATTTGTTGCTTTTGATGAAGTTCATGTTTAATGTTGTGGCACTTTCTGAAATTTGCTCTTCAGACCCCAAGGAGAAGAAAAGTTGAAATGGAGCTCCTCACCTATTCCACGTGAAAAGGTTGGCCAGCCCTGTTCTACTTTAGTGGCATTTCCTGCACTATTCCTGAATCCCTTGATATATTTTTTTTAATATTTAGAAGTCTATTGATTTCAGTCTTTGAATATACTGAAAGACTGAACCACACCGCTGTCGAGAATTCTCAAAGACTCCCCACCCTCTGAATGATGAAATTTGTTCCTGTCTCAGACCTCAACAGCCTATCAATTCTTCTGAGACTGAATCCCTTGTTGCTGGACATCTCAGTCAGAGGAAATGTTTTCCAGCATCCAACCTATTGAGCTCTGTAAACATTTGGATTTTGAATAAATTCAAACTTTCATTTTTCTCAACTCTTAGAGAATGCTCTAAAATAGTCATGTTATTAGGTAAAGCCTCTGCTCCTATGATGCTGCTTGGCCTGCTGTGTTCATCCAGCCCTGCACCTTGTCTCGGATTCTCCAGCATCTGCAGTTCCTACTATCTATAATAAATAATGAGTGTTTAAGTTCATTCCTTCCCTTTTGTTTGGAGTTGGGAAAAGCATATTTATTCAACAGCCAGACTGGACAAAGGAGATGGGTTAAATTAGATCAAGTTGACAAGAAATGACATTTCCAGGAATAACTATTACCATCATTTCCATCTGTCTTCAATAAGACTTCTTTAAGTCATCTGTCCTCCCACTAAGCTCAAAGACCTCACGTTAATTCACATAATAAAAACACTAATGTATTAAAACATATTCTATAAGAAGTCAGCCAAAGTATGGAGGGATTCACTGCTGATGTCAATGAATTTAAAACTACATCAGCCCAAGATCTTGAAAGGAATCCTGGCCTGATTTTGACATTGTGTTCTCAATTGCTTCTTGCTCAGTAGGCATATGTATTACAATTTAAGGGCGCTCTGAGACAGGTTCACGTGAGATTCAGCATCTACATTTTAAAGTAAGATGTGCACTCTATTAGCTAGATCCACTTGGTTATTAAATACCGTGTCAGTGTGATTCAGAATTATATAAGCCAGGAAGGAACCAGGTTTGATTCTGGAGACTGGATTTTAGCTATTGCAGAATGAGGGAGACAAAATGGAAATCAATGGGTCCTCCCCTTTTGCCTAATCAAATGTTGGATGGCTAATTAGTGCATGAGGGGCAGGACGATGGCCAAGCAGAGGTAGACTCCCTACTCAATTGTCACCCTAAGCTGGTACATCTTGTGGCAGAGAGGTCATGTCCTGAGAGGAAACCAATCAAGGCTGCAATTTAAGGCCCCATTAACTTATTTTTATTATTGAAGGCACAAAAATCTCAAATTGGTTTAGAAATAACATGCAACCATGGCTAAATACTCAATTTAGCAACCCCCTGAATGAACCCGGACCTAGATATCTCATTCTCGCACTATGGGCTTGGTGGATCAGGCGATAGGCCCGCTGAAGTGGAGGTCAGTCTGGGTAGGTCATGCAGTACAGTCCAGACAGAGTGTGTCACATCATTCATGAATGCTGCGGGCTGCACAACTGGAGCAGGCAAAGGAGGGAATCTGCTGGAGGCTGATGAACTGGGAGACTGGGAGCAGTCGTGAAGAGAAAGATAAGGTAATGGAGGAGGAACGTCTCCTTCACCTGAATACAGCAGTGCAGTATCAGGCATGACAAGCCAGACACTGACACTGGGTTCCAATAGAGGAGAGTTAGGTGAGTTCATCATTAATTTACTGTAAATTTGTTGTTGATTGAGGGCAAATAGCTGCTGTTCATTTCCAGTAGCATATGCAGCTTTTCTTGTTTGCTTTTTCTTCATTTTTGATACTCGCGGAATCACAGAATTGTTACGGAGCAGAAGGAAGCCATTTGGATAATTGTGTCTGTCTTGGCTCATTAAATGAGCATTATTACCGAGCTCCAATCTCTTACTTTCTCCCCATGCTTTGCACATTATTTTTATCCAGATAATCAATCAATACCCTCTTGAATGCTTCAATTGAAGTTGCCTTCACCATACCCTCCAGGCAGTGCATTCCATGCCCTAACTACTCAGAGTGAAAGCGTTTCTCCTCACTTCAACTTTGTTTCATTCGCAGATCACTTTAAACTTGTTCCCTCTTATTCTTGTTCCTTTCTTGAGTGGGGATAGTTTCCCCCTCTCTACTCTATCCAGTCCACTCATAATTTTGAAAACCTCTATCAGATCTCCTCTCAGCCTTCTTTGCTCCAAGCAGAACAGTCTTTAATCTATCCTTGTAATCAAAGTTCCTCATCCCTGGAACCATTCCTACAAACTGCTTTTGCACTCTCTCCAATACCGCAGATGCATGCTGCATACAGGACAAGGTCAGCACAGAAGAATTGCAGGAATACTCATGAGCGCTCACTGAGAGAAACCCTGCTTGAAACAGCCCAAAATTGATACTTTCTGAATTTTTAGTAAAATTCAGACCTGCATTCTAAATGCTGGAAGCATTGAACCAAGAATTGCCTTGTTACTGACAAGCTATGAGATAAGACTACTTGTGGAAAATAATTTGTGTTTAACCATCTTTAGAACATGTTCTTTGAAGAGGTGCTTTTTAAAGTCAGTGTTTTTCTAGAACAATAGTAAACATTTACATTAAAAAATATTAAAGACGAAAAGCAACACAAGGCTCCATTGGCCAGAGACCTTCCCTATAGGTGGTGAACGGTGAGGCAAATTAACTGTGGTTGGGCTGTCAACCTGAAAATTTGGGATCAGGTGCCTGTTATACAATGGATGTAATTTCAGATCAGAGCATTTCCTCCAGTGGATTAGAGGACAAAAACACAGTACCAGTTGGAATCTTTTAATATAGGAGATCTAATTTCATTTGTCCTCACTGATGAATTGTATTGTTGCTTGCAAGTAGTCCTGCCAGAAAGTCTGCTGTCATGGTATACCATGTTCATCCACCTTGCGCTATCCTCACATGTACAAGCTATACTTTGTTGGCAACCATTCTGTGATGGATTATAGCAGCAGAGAAATAATAGATCTAAATAAATAGGTGGAAGAGGTTTATACAAGACTGATCAGATGTCCAGATAAGATTGAACGTTCTGAAAACTTTGAGAAGGCTGCCAAATTAAACACCAATAATTCTGTTCCATCAGCAAAGTATAAGTGAACATGCAATTTTTATTGTATATGCAATTACATCATATCTTGAAAGTCTGAATGAAACAATAATCCATCATAAATATGTAAATTCATTTTAATGCTCACGAGAGAAAATGATCTCATCACCCAGTAAATCCCAATGGTGTTTATGCATTGTTCATCCATTTACGCTGCCCTGTCTCACTGTTGTACACGTACCAGTTTCCTGAAACTAAGACATACAAGTCAAATGTACTCCTGTATTTAATCTTTAAGCAAATTGATAAATAGAATTGTTACTAGTGTACAAAGTTACAGAAAATCATCTGTTGTCATTGACAGTTTGCATAACATGATGTAATTACCTGGGTCTCTTGCTTGTCCATCAAACAATACCTGCAATGAAAAGCAAAAGATTAATTACTAAACTAACTGATCTATACGCTTTTTGACTCACCGTCATTTCTCTGGATATTTACATCTGATGATGCATACTATCAAAATTAAAGAACGATCTTCTCACACCAATCCTGTGTGAATCATTTCTTATTGAACTGTCTCTATAATTTAAATAAGGATCTGGTGGGGAGATCTCCTGCCCAGACAGAGTGACTTGGTCAGTATTGCCCAGAATATTGAAGATCCCACTGGGCAATTCCTCTATATCTTGACCCCCAGAAAAGTCTCCATGTAAATTGGAAAATTCTGAGAGATCCAATGAAATTGAGTAAAATAGTTACTCAGCAAAGGTTAGACTATTAAATACATAGTCAACTCTAGGGTAACTGACACCACACTTACCGCACACATCACCAACTATCCCCGCGCCCCCCAGACCTGATCAACACCACCCTATGACCCAACCACCCCCATCCCCTCATCCGTCCCTGACCTGACCTGTCTCAAGGCCCAACCCTGCCTCTGCTGCCCGACATGTTTCTCCCTGCCCCCACTCTGCAGCCAAAACCCCTGCCTTAGTTGAGCAAACCTGATCCTCCCATGTCCCCTCTACCATTGCACAGGACCCCATTCTCCCTCCCACTGTGGGAGCAGAACCCTCAGACCCGAAACCCACCCTCCCTGCTGGACCGAATATCTTTGACCCACCCCAAACACTGCACCACTTACCTGCACCTCCTCACTTTACTACCACACACCTTGCTATCCTACTAACGTAGCACACTACCCCCTTCCCGTTGGCACCCCACCATCTCACTTCCCTCATGTATTTACAGTTTGACAGCAGCTGTCAGGGCCTTATATGTGAGAATGCTGTAGCTGACTGCTGTAAAAAAGGAGCATGGCTCACCTTCCTCTAACTGCTCTGTGCTACCAGTGGAAGTACAATTTCATATTATTGAGTGAACCCTGAGCAGAACCTCCTCTCAGAAATGCAGAGATCCTTTTATTCATAAAAGCAAAGGACCAAAATATCTAGTCCAGTGTCTTTCCAAATCCTAAGTACATTAACAGGCCTCAAAGAGATTATAGATGCTTATAAATGAATCCAATTTTCCTACAGGTCATTTGCTGTTCTACAATGCATTTTCTCTACATCCAGCTTTACTGGGACACACTGATTGTATCCAGTGCTGTCCCCCCCTCATCTGTCAGCCTATTCGTGGGGAGGTGCATTATGGAGCTGCTCCCATTCTGATTTCAATTTTTGCCAAGCTTAAAAAAAAGAGCAGGACAGAAATGCAAATAGATCCTGCTACAAATTCTGCTCTGCCAACCCAGATTTTATTACTGTCAATGTCCCAAGGCCCTAAAATTGGAATGTGTTTGAGAGAATACAGAATTTATGAGATAATAGAGGAAGATCTGAACAAAATTCAGCAAGGAAAGATATGGTGATGTAAATAGGTTACTTGAAGTCTGAGCACAGAACCAGAATATATAACAATAGCAATCTTCAACTGAGTCTAGAAGCACTACTCTTTCAGAGAAAACATTGCATTATTATTTGCTTTTGATAGAAATCTATTGTAAATTGCTGAATTAATATTTAATATGCTTAATACAGGAATCAACATTGAGATGTCTGTGGACTAAGAAATGCAAAGTCAGACATTCTTTCTTTTATACACACATGCAGAAGACATCTTCCTTTATCGTACAGAAATGAGTGAATTTGCTTAATGATACTGCACTTATAACATTACCTTGTCTTGTTCTTCTGAAAGTTGAGACTGTTTTAGGATAGGTCTTTGTTGGTTTGTGACTGATTGAGCCCTGAAATACAAAACCTCACTGAGCATTCACGAGTGTTTCATAGGTCAGAGTAAATCTTTCAGGGAAGACATGAAGGAGGGTAGTTAAATGTCTTTCAGCATCCAATATTTTATCACAGACTGAACATCTGTAACATCACACACTACTTACATAAATCTTTGAAAACATCTGCTATGTTTAAAAAAGCTGTTCAAAAACGTACACTTTATCAAGAGAAACAGGAAATACAAAGCGGGAAGTCATGCTACTTCTTTATAAATTATTGATTAGGCATCGTCTGGACAATTGATCATAGAATCCTTACAGTGTGGAAACAGGTCCTTCGGCCTAACAAGTCCACACTGACCCTCAGAGCAGCCACCCAAACCCATTCCCCCTATAACCCGCCTAATCCACACATCCTTGAACAGTACGGGTAATTTATCATTGCCAATCCACCTAGCCCACACATCTTTGGACTGTGAGAGGAAACCCACGCAGACACGGGGAGAATGTGCAAACTCCACACAGACAGTCGCCTGAGGGTGGAATCGAATCTGGGTCCCTGGCGCTGTGAGGCAGCAGTGCTAACCGCTGAGCCACCATGCTTGAATCAATGAATTCTGTTAAACTGAGGTTAATCATCAAATTAAGTTCAGTAGAAGGGTCACAGAACAAAAATATTGAAGAGGATGTCGGGTGACCTGAGTAGAAACCTAGGCATTGAGTATTGCTCTTTTTTTTGTTACAGTTGAACTCTTTACTCAATCATATCTATAGTTGTACAATGGTCAGAATCTTACGGGCAGCTGGGTGATGTGGGTTGTGATATGATTTGTGGTAGAATCAACCTATTTCAATGTCCAGAGCATTGAGCTGCATGGTTTGTATTTTTGACAAGGGACATGGCATGTTTCACACTATACAGCAGTGAGTTACCAATGAAGGCCATTGGTGTCTGTTAAAAACACCTAGGTAACAGCACAACTTTCTTCATTAATATTCAGATTCCTATCTTACCAAATGCACTAAAGAAGTTAGATGTCAACAAAACGTGACATGGAAATCGGAGCAGGCACCAGGTAAACATAACTCACCGCTTGCTCCAAAGAACTTCCATGTCGGATATCGGACACCAACATTTCAGGACATGTACCTTGGACATTTACCACACCCACCCTAAATCCATTAACATTGGCATCTGACACATGCCAGCTTCAAAGAACTCTAACAGCACATCTCTGATCCATTTGCAGTGTGCCTCTGCATTTCAATGGTGCACCTTGGGCTGTACCAGCAAGTATCATTATAATGTGCAGCAAGAACAGTGTGCTCAGGAACACACCCAGCTCATGGACTGGACCAGGTTGCATCACTCACTGTTACAGTGTTCACTCATTCTGCGCCTATCCTGATGCGCACAGCATTCCTGCCTTTCATTGTCTTTGTGCATTCTGCTGCCTGAGCCTGAGATACCAGGCTTATATTACTCCTGTCTTGCTTTGCTATTTAGTGCAGACACAAAGCCAGGAAGCTTGTCATTGTTGCCAGCAGTCCTTAGTCAAATCAAAGGAGATGGGTATTCTTGGCACAGTAAGTCAAGGACAGCCACCTATACCAGACCAGGGGCTTGGACATGGTCTGTCAGCTACTCAGCACAGTCAGAGTTAGGATTCTATCATCATAAAGGATGAGGAGCAGAATATTGGACAGCCCAACAAAAGTCTTGGCTCATTCTGTCCTACTTAAAAAATTGTCTTCTACTGGAATGAGACAGAGACAGGGATTAAGGGAGATGAAAATGGGTAGCACAGTTATTACTCATGGTATAGTTGAGGACGTGTCTGGAGAGATTGAGTAGGCAAAACAGAGGACATGCAGGATTATTGGTGTCGGGGTTTAGGGTGGGTGAGGGTGAGTGAGGGAAGATGCTGCAGGCATTAAGGAGTGTGGTAGAGCCTGTGCCTTGAAGAAATGTGGGTAGACCAGTGAGGTTTCAGAGAGAAGATGGCACTAAGGCCATCATTGACCTTCTTCCTGCAGTTCACAGCATTCCTCTAGACAATTGAAACTGCACTGACCTGGGTGGCAGCCAGGCTGACAGGGTCTGGTGTCATGGCCTCTGTTCCTGGTCCTCGGGGAAGAGGAAGAGAGTCTGTGCTCCAGCAGCAGTGGGACTTCCAGTTCCCTGCCCACAACAACGTGTACCAACTTGCCCTGTCTGGCATGTCTGCGGCAAATGTCAGGAACAGTGCAGGGCTCTGGGATGGCAGTTTTTGTCAGGGTGCACTACAGGGTTTTAAAAAAGGCTTAGGTACAAGAGGATTTCAGTTACTTCTAGGATATCCTGGCAGTGGCCAGTCATCCAGGAAAGTGTGTGTTAAGGTGGGACTGGAATCAGATATGAGGAATGTCATGGTGTGGAGTAGGTAGTCAGTGATGTCCGTTTTGTTAGATACAGTGAGAAAACACATTAGGCCTTGCAGCAAGATTCAGCCCAATAAACTCATGCATTAAGATCTGTCTGCTTAACCAATTTGATTTGGAGCTGTTTTTTAAAAGGCTTAAAGGGTTTTATTCTATTGATGGAGACAATGCAATACTACAACTTTCCAAACAAGTTTCCATTAAATGCATGTTTGTTCTAATGGATACAAGCACATAACCTAAATATTGTTAATTTAAATAGACTCAAAATAAAATGTACATCAATAAAACTTCCTTCAAATAATTTGGAAGAACACAGATTGCTAATAGAAGCAAATATTCTGCTGCCATGGCTGCATGACTGATACAACTATTTCAGAGGAAATTAGACTTGTCTCACATGCACAGACTGCAAAGGTCAAACTGGGCTCACAATGTTATGGTCTGTGAAAAAATAATCAAGTCCAAGTACATGAAGGAGTAAATGACTACATTTACAGGTGATTCTTCATGCTTAATAGACATAGTGAGAACAAATTATGGCAGGACACAATGAAGTGAAAGTAAATGTTGGATAATTTGGCCTATTGGTGTGTTTAGTGATTTTTATAGTGTGGGAATGTATTTTTTTTTCTTTCCATTTTTTAATATGGGTTTGGAACTGCCCTTTGTCTAAGAAGATGGAGAACAATTTTTTGGTGCTACTGATTGTTAGTGTCGACAGCACAGAGTATTTGAGAAGGGGAAAACTGTGCCAGTTCAACTTCTTGATTTGCTAATGAGCAATTAGAATCAGAAGAAACCAACCACAGTAGCAACAAACTATTATTTTAAAGAACAACCAAAGCACATTTTGGTACTGGCACACATCACTGAAACATAATAGAACAGGTGAAGCTTTTAGCATACCAAATATCTTTAAAAATTTTCACTTTTCTTAAGTACTAAAAGTCACTCTTAGTTAATAGCAAGGAAGCTGAGTCTGCTGCTGAAGATTAATTCCTCAGGAGAAAGATGCTTGTGGTGGAGTGCCATTGTGAAATGGGAGTAAAACAAATGGTTCACATCTGTTCTTGGTATATAGGATGAAGTCATTACTCAGGGTTGAAGCAAATAGATCTCACCCTGCAACCCCTAATGCATCCAGACAACCATCCCATCCAAATGCTCTGGTTGAAAAATGCACCATCTTTGATTGGTGGAGAGCAAAAAGAAACATGGCAGCTTCTGCGGTGATGTGCATACAGATGCAGAAGGGAATGATTGACTTCCCTCCTGAAGCATTGAACAAAACACTTATAGTTGATTTCAGACATAACACAGTGTGGAGCTGGAAGAGCACAGCAGGCCAGGCAGCATCAGAGGAGCAGGAAAGTTGACATTTTGGGTCGATTTATTTTTTTTCCCCAGGAAGTTTGAGGAGAAAAATAAATTCAGCTCATTTGATACCTAATCATCTACTGACAAGATAATGGCCCTGATGGAGACCAATTGGCTATAGTCAAGAGTGACTTCCTTACTGTAACTAATGGGAAGCATAGCATCTTCACAAATCATCCAATCTGTTTGCCCAGAATCCTGTTCATTCTGAAAACATAGATACCAACAAATCTATTTATAAATTATACTCAATCGTTCACACCTTTAAAAACACCGTCCTGATTCACAGAAATGCTCACATTACATTGTCCACTTTGGTTCCTAAGCTGCAATATAGAAATCAACATCACCACTTTTATAAAGTGAGAATTTCCTGGGGTTGGAATGAAGGAAGATTCTGGTAAGTGCAAGACCACATCCACCTACTTTCATTGACATTCAGCAAGGCAGACAACGACAGTCTAGCAGGTAACTGAATTCCTAACAGGTATTTTTAAGAAAGGTAGCAGTACCTGAAGTGGGACAGATTTGGAGAGAACATTCCAGGACTGAATTTCAAGTACTGAGAATAAATTGGTGACTCTCAAACAAACGTTCTGAAAATGTTCCATTTTCGAAAATTTGTGAGTAAAAGCAACAAGGTGACCAGAGCTTTGAATTGCAGTGATGGGTGGAACAGAAAAGAATGAAGTAATGTTTTGCAGATGCAAGTGGCGACATATGTAAGGACTTTTTTAATATAAGATAATATTCCATGGAACCTGCTCTGATTAAATAATAGCATTTTGGAATTTCCTTCTCACTTATTAATTCACAAGAATAGTGCAGTCATGTAGCTGGGGAGAAGGGAATGCTCACTAAGAGAATGAAACACAGAGTGGCCACATTTTCTCTGCTTTGTTGCTGAGCAATCCTTAATTCCCGAGTTAAAACAAAGGAAAATTGATTGAAATCGTGGATTCTAGCTCTTGAGTTTCTTTGCAGTGTGTTACAATTTTCTGGGATCTCACAAGTGTTAAGGAGTGCTTAGTCCTCTCGCAGATGTAACCATGGAAGAGAGGCAGGAGGAATATACAGCATCTTCCAGCTCACTTTTCTCTCAACACGTGATAGGTCAGATGAACCATGAAGAAGTAGATCTTAGGCCTTTCTTTCACCTTGCTCCACTTATATTATTAGATGTGAAATAGACATGCAGCAAAAAGATATGCAGGACCCAAAGGTTGGTCCCCATTTAATATATTCGAACAGCTTCTCCAATGCAACACCACAGCTAGTTATTTTGGCCACGATTTCTGGATACCAGCTAGGAAGGTATTATCAATCCTCTTGGGCTCTCTAACTGATAAAGGAGGTTGACTTGGATCACCTGTTTGAAGGTTTTTCAATAGGTTGGTCAGTGCTGGGAGAATATCGAATTGGTGACCCGATCAGATGATGATAAGAAATGGCAACACAAATAAGCCTTTTAGCCCTTCAAGCCTGCTCTACCACCCAATACGATCATGGCATTTCTTCTATACCAACTCTGATATTCTGCCCATTCTCCACATCCCTTGTTTTCATGGGAAATCAATAATCCTGCAATTTCAATCTTGAATCTGTTTGACAGTGGAACACTGATACTCTCTGGGTTACAGATTTCCTAAGATTTATAATACTCTAGTGAAGGAGGCTCTCCCCATTTCCCATCCAAATGATTGATCACTGATCCAGAGGTTGTGCCCCCATGTTCTAGATACTGCAGCAAAGGAAAACAACCATACCTACCATGTCAAGCTCTATCAAAATTTAGATGAGTTCAGGTCATGCTAGATGGAACACAATTTGGCTAGCCACAGTCTAACTACCTTCCAGTGAAGAAAGAACATGGATCCTAATATGCAGAAGTCATTCCATGCCAGGTACAGAAGAGACAACTTCCATCACAAACAACTATGTTAAGTTAATCTTGTCATTAGTACCATACAGTATTGATTAACACATGACTGTCTAATGATTGGGGCTGGCTTGATAGCTGCAACATTTCTGTAAAATTTAACAGTTTGGACAAATGATTACACCAAAACTTAACCTATGTTTGCCCTTAGATGCTGTGCATCTCCAGAAATGTTGCAGACCTGGAAAAAAAATGTAATAGTGTAATACCTACTTTTGATAGCACACCCAGGCTATACCAGAAACAGCGAGCACTGTCAGGGCTCCAGCAAGAGTCAGCACTGCAACAAACCATCGCTCTGGACTCCAGTAAAATGAAGTTAATGTTAACACACTGGTGGTGAACTGAGGAAAAATGAAGAGGACAAATATCCTATTAGGGCTCACTGGTAAAAATCCTTCAGCAAAGCAAAGTGGACCAATCTGTCCAAAAGTTTCAGTCTGTAATGTCAAGATAGAACTAAATTGAGAAATAAAATCTGAATCCTTTGCTTTCAGACTGAGGGAACATGCAAACTTATAAAATACCCAAAGTTCTAACTTTTAGAAAGTTTGCTAACGCAGTGAATGCATCTCAGCTCAATTAACTTTTACAATATTCCTGATATGCAGTAATAAATAAATTTGTACATCACTCAGTTCCTACCTCCACTGCGGAATCCATTTAGATTATTGCATTATATTCAGGTATTTAAAGTACAAAAATTATTCCCAGATTAATGTCATCTAAAGCGGTCTTGCAAAATTGTCTTGATGTGCAGTATTATCTATAACCATTGAATAAATTTGATTTTTATAAATGGAAAATGTGGGAATTTCAGAAACATACAAGAAATGATTTGCCAGATGAACAGCTAGTTAAATTAAATCAATGATAGAGCAAAGTACTAGTGCACAGGTCACCCTTGAATCATAGAAATTTGCAACACAGCCATTGAATCTGCAATAGCCAACAAGGAGCCATCCAACCTCATCTGATTTTCCAGACTTTGGTTTATAGTGTTGTTAATTACGGCACTTCAAATGCATATCCAAGTACTTTTTAAATGTTGCGAGGTATTCTGCCTCTTCAATCCTTTTAGGGAGTGAGTACCAGATTCCCACCATCCTCTGGGTAAAAGAAATGCCCCCAATTCTCCTCCTAACTTCCTACCTGTTATCTTTAATCTTATGTTCCCTGATTGTAGACCCCGAATTAAGTGGAATAAGGTCTTCCTATCCAGGTCTAATCCTACATGTCACTATGGTAATCTGTATAGTATCAGAATAAAATTATGGTGCAAAGTAGTTGCAACATCTCTCTGTCAAGGTCACAGAAAAAAACTAGATTTGAACTCCGTACAGGAACTTGGTAACTGTACAATAATCCTTGTTATCTCTGTTTACCTGAAAGAGTAGTTTGAAAATGATTACAAGAAGGAAATGTTACCTCTGTAGTAGTGGACGTTGTAGGTTGAGTGGTTGTCCATGGCACTACATGTATCACCACAGTTGCTGTAGAAGTCAGTTGTTGATGTTTATCCTGACCAAACTCATCAGTCACTTGGATCAGCAGTGTGTATTCCCTGGGATGTTCAATTCCTTGAATGATGTCAAACTGAAATCTTTGCGTGGAGGCCACCTTTGCAGGATTGTTGTCTGGCCTCTGAAGCTCAAACAAATTTTGTGTGTTTTCTGCAGAATATTTACCAAAACATCACAGAGGTTCAAGAGACATGGATTTAGAATTTTTTTTGGATAGATTTTCTATTTGCTGCCAATTTGTAAAACCAGACCTTCCATTATAGAAATCTCTCAATTTCCACTGAAATCAGTGGAATGTAAATTGGCACTTTGCATTTGGGTGGTTGATCCACATTACAGTTTGGCAAATTGAAAATTGACTCCACTGGCCAGGATGTAATTAGATTCCTAATCATAGAATCCATACAGCGCAGAAGCAAACAATGAGCCCACATTGGCCTTTCGAAGAACATCCCACTCAGACTCCCCCTACTGTATCCCCTGAATCCTGCATTCACATGATGGATCCACCTAGCCTGCACATCCCAGGACACTGTAGGTAATTTAGCATGGCCAATCCACCTAACCTGCACATCTTTGGATTGTGGGAGGAAACCGGAGCACCCGACAGAAACCCACGGAGACAGGGAGAATTTGCAAACTCCACACAGACAGTTACCCCAGGGTAGAATTGAACCTGGGACCCTGGCATTGAAGTAGCAGTGCTAACCACTGAGCCACTGTGCTGCCCTGATTCCACAATGACAAGATGTAATTAGAGTCCTACTTCCAGCTGTTCTGCATCACCCTCAGTTCCATCTGTTGATTAATGGTCCTACCCCATCCACTACTCCTTAGTCTTCTATTTGCCATCTCAGCACAGTGCCTTTTGTGCCTTTGATCCATTCTCCAGTTGACATCTACTTGCCAATGGCCATTGTCAGTCATCCTCATCCTGTTTCTGCATTTCACACTCATTGCCACATGGTGCCTCACAGTGCCAGTGACTTGGGATCAATTCCAGCCCCAGGTGACTGCCTGTGTGAAGTCTTCATATTCTCCCCATATCTCATTCATAATGAGAAATCTGGCAGCAGTAGCAACAAAATAAGCTGAAAAAATGGCTGGACATCTGTTTTCCCAGATATTCTTGTAATGAATATATTAAAAACATGCTTATTATGAAACTCATTTCCACAGTCCAAAGATACGCAGGTTAAATGGATTGGCCATGGTAAAAAAAACCCAAATGCGGGTTTGAATTATAGGGTCTGGTTGGGCTGCTCTTCAGAGAGTCGATACAGACTCAATGGCCTGAATGGCCTCTTGTTGTGCTGTAGTGATTCCATGATTCTAAAAAGGATTTTGTTGGAGATGACAAAACAAATGACTTTATTTGTAATATGGTCACTAGGTTCAAGTCTCACTCTGGAACTTCTCCACCAGAATCAGGGCTGGCACTCCAGTGTAAGAGTGTTGCTCTGTCAGAAGTGTCATCTTTTGGATGAGTCAAACCCAGGGTTCATAACTTGCTCATTTGTAAAAGATCATATAGCATCATTTTGAGAAGAGTGAAATCTTCAATGTCCAAGGCCAATTAATGACCACAAAAAAACAGTTTATCCAATCAGTATCAGTTTGTCATTTTTGTGAGTTTGCTCCACTCAATTGGACTGCGGCGTTTCCTACATTATGCCTGTGGTTATACTTCACAAAGTACTTCATTGGCTGTAAAGAACTTCGAGAATTCCAGTCATCAAAAATGACACACTAAAATCTTTCTTTTTTAATGTTGCCAGAGTTTTAATAAGTTAATGCTCCTGAAAAGTGATTTATTTCTTATCAGTTTTGTTTTGAAATCTTATTTGAACTTGACAGAAATTAATATTTAAATGATGCCCAAAATTGTACACTTTTCTATAGTCAAAGACACATTGATCTGACATTTTGTGGTATTTGTCATTTTAATGTCAAGATTTTGTAAAGTTGGTTCATGCCAGTTTTACATCAAAACCTCAATATACATGTTTGCTTGAATGTTTCCGAGATAAGTTCACCAGAGAAATTAAATAGCTTCAGTCATGAATACAAAAGATCTGCCTTGGAAGGTTTCCTATATTAACATCAGTAACACATTAGCACAGATTATGCCCAAAAATGAAGGTGCTTTGGAATGTACAGTGACTTAGTAACAAAATGATTGATGTCTGAAGTTTGATTGTAATTTCCTGCATAATTTTGTGGGCAAAACCTGAACTATATTTAACCAAAGTTCTGTTGGTTTCATTGTTCTCAAAACCTGCTTACCTACCTTTGAAGATCTAAGCTTCTATAATGAGTTCCATAATAAGCATCTTTTTAATATATTCATTATAAGAATATCTGGGAAAACAGATGTCCAGCCATTTGTTCAGCTTATTTTGTTGCTACAGCTGCCAGATGATCTCATTATGAATGCTTGGCTGTACTCCAAGAGGGACTAATATCATCAGCCCAGTAGAGGTTTATTGATACAATTGCAAAGAGAAGAGTTATCTTTGTTTGATTGCAACCTTTTTACCTTATAATAATTTGAACTTCATTTGAAATGGTTTTTCAATGACTGGGTGTTTATTTGGATATGATTAAATGCTTTTTTTCCAATGCAATTTTCACTGCCTGTGATTGTCTGACAATCTTATGAGATGGTCAGAGTGGAAATGTTTTGCAAAGGCATTTTTTTGATAATTCTTGTTTAAGTCACAAAAAAGTTCTATTTCATGAAATTTCGTGACTTGCCAGTGTTATTGTATGTTTCATTGGTTCTGTACCTAGTCCCAACAGGGTGATTGAGTGAATAGGCATGGAAGTAACATGAAAGGGATATGGGAGATATGAGGGACCATGGAGGGTGGATGAGAAATGTGGTATGGAGGAGTTAGGGGAGTTACAAAAGGGCATGGATGATCTGAAAAGATATGGGATTTAAGAAGGCATGATGGATATGAGTGAGCATTGAGGGACATTGGAAGAGCCAGGGAACTGAGCTTTTCATGAGGGTTAAGGGGTCGGGGTGAGAGTGCCTAACACTAATGGAAATATCTGGAGCAATGCATCAATTAATGGTGATGGGTTTTCTAACTTGTCTGCCTCACCATCCATTGAACTCCATTGCTGCCTTGATCCTGTTTCCAGTCTATTCCCACTTTCCTGAATAAGAATGGGGCTCCTCCAGAACAGAGTTTCGATTGCAGAGTTGGGAAAATAGCCACCTCCTGATATCCATTTCCTTGATAAAAGTTTGGCCTAAGATTCTCAAAGTATCACTGCAAAGGTGGGTGTACATTCATAATCATCCCTATTGGTAGAAAATATACGTTTGTCCCTTGCTTTATGGTGTTTTATATTCTATTGCAGCCACCGAGTTCATTGGGAAAATTGGCAAGATGTTCCCATCAACTGGATGAATATTGATAAACCTTTTCAATTATATTTTGCTGCAAAGGGAATAAGAAAAAAATCCACACTATTTCTTCAAGTAAGTCCTTTGCCTTTAAACTACAATTTTTGTTTTTGTAGATGTATACTTTTAGTAAAACAAGGAACCTCAATCTCAAAACAGCATCTCTAAAATGAAATAAAGTTCAGGCTTACCTCCCACAATTGAGTAGGAAAGTTCATGATCTGGCGAGTCTTTGTCAGAACATTGCAGCTGGATAAAGGGGGAGGTGATAGTAGAGTAGATGGTTTGCTCGTAATATTCTGGGTCACACACTGGAGGCTCATCATTCACATTCTGAAATTCAAAATGCTAATTAGCAAAAGCAGCTACGATGGAGGTGTAAGAATTGATGAATTACGTACGGAACAGAATTGTCTTTCAACATGAGTGAAGACAAATAAATCAAAAGCAAAGTTTCTCTTTATAAATTAAGCAGCTTCAAATCATTCACCTGCAATAATTTCATCAAGCAAAGAGCAGCTCATTAATACATATTACATAACTAATCTCATAGGCTAAAGAGTGATACTTTGAGAGTTATAATGGCACAGCTGCAGGTTATTTGGCCTATCCAGTTTGTGCCAGCTCTCCATGGACTATTCCAGACACATCCCTTCCCCATTCTATTCTATAGCCCTGAAGTAAAGATATAATGGGTTTTCAAAATGTAATTTATCTTACAATATACCACGAACTGCCAGTTCAAATCCCTAAACTTCCTCATAAGAGTAAAAATTTGTGTTTTGGAATACTTATGAGATATTTTTGATTGTTATTAGAATTGTTTTAAATATGCTAGATGATGTAACTGCTATTTATATAATAATTTCTTTAAGAGTGCACATTTAAGTATTTGAGGTCAGTACAAATAGATTTCATATGTTTTCTATTCAGACACTATCTAACATTTAGAATTTTTGCATTTACTACTGAGGGAAACTGGATCATGTTCGTAAGAATTTGCAACAGAAGCATTCACTTCTGCTCACAACCTTAAAACATCTCTTGATTTAGAATAAAAACGGAATAATTTTAGAAGGTGAGATTGTAGAGTCCCCAGTTTGGTGCATGCCAATTGTACAAATAGTTAAAAGGTGCAGAAACAAAGTCAAATATACCTTCACAAGGAAAATGTACAAATAACCGGATCAGTTAACCACAACAGGCCACCCCTATGTAAACAGATTTAGAACAGCAGGGATGGAAACTTAGGAGAAAGTCCCACTCTCGTCATGTAAACATGATTTTATAGAATCTCGGTGTGGACTTCTGAATGGAAATTACAACAAATGTGGTTGCTGTATTTTACATGACATCAGTGACTGTAGGTCATGAACAAAGAAAGAGTTTCAGCAATGTCTTGAGGTTATAAAAGGCATGAATGCAAGTCTTTCTCCTTTTGAGAAGGGAAAAGATTATTTTTGGGATGGATAACACTGCTTTCTGTTATTTTCCTTTCTTTTCACGTCTTTCTCCGCATCATATAAAGTCCAGATGAGGAAGTGACAGCTGGCTTTTGTCGACCTGTTATAATTCATAAGTGCTGGGCACACTGGCTGAGATTCTTCTCTTAGTGACTGGTTCTCAAGGATATCATCTGGCCCTCGAACTTCCACTGTAACCTTAACCCATTTTCCTGCGTTGAGCATGGTTTCCAGTGCACGCTGTGCTCCTGTCAGGATTTCTGTTGTTCAGCAAGGAGACTAAATGTCAAACAGGTTCAGATCGCACTTCCAACAGGTGCATGAGGACAGTTTTCCAGCTAGGCAGCAATAGACTGCCCATTGTCTATTTTATTGCCATTTCTGACACTGTCCTGCCCAATTTTCAGTGTGGTAGCAGAGTAAAATCCCAATTATCTTCACTTTCCAACAATCAGGAGCTCCTGCCTTTAATTCAGTGTTTCCCAATGATGCCATAACTGAGTTCATTAACTCACCAGTGAGCTAAGTGGCTGCAGAATCAAGCTTAGAAAACTTCAGCAGGAAGCTCTTTGGCCCACAATACCAGTTCTAGTTCCCCATTGTAGTTCTTATTCCCTTTGTTAGTTTTCTTCTTCAAAGGTATGTTTAGTATCCTTGAAAAAGTTACGTTTGATTAGCAATGATGAGGCACATTCCGTATTGTAATTTTTATGCTTCTGTGTATTTTTATATTTGCCCTTGGGCTGTGGGTGACAATAGCACGGTATTACGTTAATGCTGGAACAAAAGCAGAAGTTGCTGGAAAAAGCACACCAGGTCTGGCAGCATCTGTGAAGAAAAAGTAGAGTTAATGTTTCGGGTCTGGTGACCTTCCTCACAAGGGATCACCTGACCCGAAACGTTAACTCTGATTTTTCTTCACAGATGCTGCCAGACCTGCTGAGCTTTTCCAGCAACGCTGTTTTCCTTCCTGATTTACAGTATGTGCAGTTCTTTTGGTTTTTATGACTTTAATGTTCATCCCTAGTTTCCATGGCAGAACCAAGAATCAATCAATATTATAGACCAGACCAGAAAAGGCAGGTCCCAGTCCTGAAAGATGTCAGTGGACAAGTCGAGTCTTTCCTAACAAAGCAATACTCTTTTTTAAAAGAAAGCATGCTTTTTATCTGTTCTTTTTTACTGCACCCGTCAGAACTGAACAATTTCACTGAAGTCAGTTCCATGAATTGCCACAAGAAGGTCCAAAAGGCTGGAAATCTGAAATTAAATAAATATCAGACATGTTCAGCAGGACAGACAGCTATCAATGGAGAGAAGAAAGTAGAGGACATGCCAGGCAAATTTATTGACATGCAACTTTAACTTCCAGTTTCTGCCTCCTATAATGATTTCTAAAATTTGGTAATTTTATACATGGTTTTGAATACATGATCTCCACACATGGGTTCATGTGCCCTTGCTAGTGATTTACCTATCAGAATAAATAATATTTGAATTTTACTTTGAAGTCCTTTTAGAATTAAGAGAAATTCCCTTTGATTTGGTATTAGAATACAAGTTTTCTTCTCAGGATGCTTTAGCTGTGGAATGAGGGAGTCTCATTCACAAAAACACTATCATTGTACGTAAAACAGTTCCTTAAATCCAAAAGGTTCACTTCTGGCAGTTAGTCTGTGAAGATGGCAGTCCGTATCTTCTCTGATAAAGCAGCCAGTGCCAGTTTGAGGCCTGGGTCTCATTTGAATGAATCTGATTATTATTTATTTTCATTTTGCAACATATTACACCCCTGCTCTGTGAACTGTTGACATTGAAAGAATGCTTAACGGAGCAATTGGCATGTTGGTGTGCTGAGTTATCACTAGATGGCACTGTAAGTATGCGATGGTACAGAATTGAAAAGTTGAGCAATTGGATGCTTGTACATCTTCAAGGTCTGTGAATGTAAAATAGATTGCGGGGTATGTGTTGGGAAACCACTCCTCTTAAGAGGCCTTCACCTCTACCTTTATCCTTATTCATATCCGTGGTTCAGCAGCAGATATTGTAATTTATTGATGTTGTTATCTTTAATCAAACCCTTAGATCCAGGAACTAAGCTTCATGTATTTGTTGTAATTACATAATTTACAACCACACCACATCTGAGTGAATTGACAGATGCCTTAATGTATTTTCTCTTTCAGAAATCAATTTTTTATGTGCAGAATAATGCGATTGCGTATTTGTCCCTATTAAGGCAATGATATACTTAGCTGTCACTAGGTGAATATTAACCCTCTTAATTATTTTGTCTTTGTAGAAACAGTCTCACGTAGAGGTGACATATATGTTAGAAGAATGCTCTCAGATCCTTTAGAAGCCCCAGTAAACTCCTGCATTCTGAACTAGATTCAATACTGTTGATGTAAGGTCACAATTGGTTTGTGCCTCTTGGTGTGATATTCTATAATACTCACTTTATATGTTGGAAGCATACTGAGAAAAATATTCAAAAGGGTCTCACAAAATCTTTATAACAAACTCTTGTCACTAAAGAACAAAATGGATTGAACTATGTAACAAGAAACAATACAATGAATCCTTTCAGTTTAAATGTTTTGCTTGAAATGCCTCGGAAACTATACCTAAAGTTGAGTTTTCAAAGTATGATGTCTTACCATGACATTAACAGTTACTGTAGCTGAGCTCCTTCTCTGCCTCAGTGGATCAGTTTGTAGATCATTATTCATGTCCTCCGCTTTCACAGTGAGTATGTAAATATCTTGAGTTTCTCTATCCAGTGCATTTAAAAGCCTTATCCGACCTGAAAGAGTATAAGACCACCACTGAAATGATAAAAGTTTAAAAGGTCAGGTTCTCCATAGTAGTCCTCCCCTCGACACGCAGCAAAAAGATAAAAATAAAATACAAATAAATATGAGTGAATGTTTCTGAAGAGAATGATGATTGGTTATTTCAGAACTGAACCTTGAGAAATATAATGTTGACTTATTTGGCAATGATTGCAATCCATTGATCTACTGGATGAAATACCTTAATGGAGTAATGTTGTGGCTGATAATGACTGTGCAGCTTTTGTATCACAGCCATGCATCCAACATATTACAAAATATATCAGTAGATGCCCCACTCTGTTTATAAAGTAGTCTGGAATCTGGGCTCACGTTGAGGTTTATCAAAGTCCTCATGCTGTATTCATTGCTGTATGTTGAATATTTCTTGAAACAATGGAATCAAAGCAAGATTTAAGGAAGTTAGTGATCCTGAAAGATAGGTTTCTATTTTTGTGTGTTAGTTGTTGTGAAAGCTGATAATGGGTCTCTAAAGCTTCTCACAATTGGTCTTTTAATTTTAGGACGGCCCTGTTTAGCTGTTGGTCTCATCTCTCTAAAACTACGAATAAATTCAGGTGAAAATTTGACAGGTCCATTTACAATGAAGTCTGTCTTCAACCTGTCACTATCCATTCTGCTGATGAAACCAAAATATTAAAATCACAGCAGGACAGAACGTCTAAGTAAGATCGATAAAGTTTATAAAACTTCCGAAGACATCTTGTCTTTCTATTGGGGTTACCAATTGGTTTTATATTTAACATGTGACCAAAAATGATCACTAAGTGGCATCCACACTGAAAAAAGATGTAAATTTCTTTTCAATGAGAAATAGGAACAGAAACCTTGCAATGAACTATAACAATACCTGAGTTTGATTCAATATAAAACTTGGGTGGGACATCGCTGTTGCCTCCGACAATAGAATACTTTATATTGCTATTTGGCAGGTCACCATCAGTAAATTTAGCTGTTCCAACGAGAGCTCCAATGGGACTATCTTCAAAGATGTTAAATGTTCTTGATTCAGAGGAAGGATTCTGCTCATTCACTCGTGTGACCTTCACTATAACTGTGGAGGTACCTGAACAAATAGTTTGTAAAATGGTTAGTGCAATGTCATGTAACCTCATGGTTGCATCAGTAATCCAGGTTTTCTGTCAAGTAAAGTGTATGTACATTCAGACTTACTTGTCAATCGAGGGATGCCATTATCCTCCACTTTAACAAATATTACATGTTGAAAATGAACTGCACCGAATGAGCTATCATCATATTGCAAAAGTGAGCTCCCAATCTGTAAAATAAATAATGTTGGGATGCTTAGTTATTAACAGCAAAATATTGCAGATGCTGGCAATCTGAAACAAACACAGGGAAAGCTGAAGAAACTCAGCAGGTCTGGCAACATCTGTGGACGAAATACAGAATTAACATTTTAAATTTGGCATGACTTTTCCTCGGAACTCAGAACCCTGTCTGAAGAGGAGTCATACTGAACTTGAAGCATTAATTGTTTCTCTCTCTACAAATGCTGCCAGACCTGTTGTGTTTCTTCAGCATTCTCTGGGTTTACTTATTCATATGGGTCATTGTCAGTGAATCGACATCGTATGGAAGAGATTACACTTGTATTAGTTTTCTTTTAATCTAAGGTTTAATTTTAGAAAAGCGACGAGTCAGTTTCAATTCAAACTTTGGATTATTTGGGTTCATTTCATTTTATCGCAGTGAATTTACAACCAGTCTCCAAACTGATAAAATGAAGCACAGATACAGTGAGAGCTGGCAACATTCCTTTATACAGCCTGACTGAAAGGGGTTTTACTGTCAGAACAACATTTTAATTTTCAACCCAAATGCATTTTAATAAAGAAACTTCAAGAATTTGAGAATTGAGCAGTTTAAAAATAGATCTTTACTTCACAGAATTCCTTGAATAACAGATGAAATTCTAACCTTTGATATTGTACATGAACATAATTAACTTCAAGATTATACAAAATATTTTAAAAAACATGACTCTTTGCTCTTTGTATTTTATTCACAGTGACTCATTCTTCAAAACTTGGCTGGGTTGAAAATCAATTATTTTAAGGACTTAATTGTTTAATGGTGTTGAAACATCTTTAGAGGTACTAGAAATGTCAAACCCGAGAAGGCAAGGATGCAAGAAGCAGGTCATGATAATCTACTGACAATTGACTTTTGTGAAAAAGAATTCACAGAACCACAGTGTCCTGGGTTGTTACGGTTCATAAGGAGGCTATTCGTGTCTTGTATGGAAAACAATTCCTCAGAAGATAAACTGGATTAGGTCAAATCTGTGAAGAATCAGATCATACAGTTTAGCAGGAATGGATTTAATTGGCTTAGTAAAGTTCGTATTAATTATTTCTCATATATTTTATTAAAGTATTTTGTACAATGGGTTGACTAACATATTAAGGGAAGATTTTCTCCGTGCAAAGTCGTTGACAAAGTGAAAGCTCATTCATATTTATTTTGTTTGTATGTGTGTTTGACGTGACCCTAAAAAGTATATTTATTGTCCATTCTTTGTTGTTTTCTGAAAGTGGTATTAACATGTGTTTTGAATATTTCAGTCCATGATTATGCTTCTATCATGGAAGTAGTTTGGGAGTTTTGGTATCTTGAGACAGTCACAGTAAGTGGAGGGATGTCGTGGTGATCTAATTCATGACAGTTCATGTGCGACTCAAACAAAAAATTGTAAGTGAAGGTTTTTGTATTTTTAATGCTTTTGACCGTCTAGGTAGTAGCCAGCATTAGGTATTTGTGCTAGGGGTCTGTTTCACATATATATTACTATGTGGAGGGGAAGCAACAATACTTCCAGTCTCTAGATTTTTGTAATAACTGCTAATTTTGTGATCTTAAAACAAACTTGATGTCCACATTGGCCATATTTATTTATTTTTAATTCAAAATTGAAGCATATTATTCTCATTAGTTGTGAAATTATTTGTTGCTTTAGTGCAAAAGGCTTCTGCTTGACAGAAATCCTGTAAAGTTTTAAGAATTAGTCAATGAGACATGGAATGAAATCGAGTATTCAGCCAACCTTATTAGAAGGCTTTGATGCATCTTATTCAACAGAAAATAATACCTTTTAACCTTTTATCATCTTAAGGAGCAGAAATACCTTTCAGTTCATACAGAGTCACTCATGGTGACTTAAGCTTATTTCTATAACATTTCAGTAAACTTTAATCGTACTTACAGTTATTTCATTGTCAGTAATATTAAACCTTCCTGGTGAATATGTATCCAGAATCATTGTGAATTGCAGGATATTATTAGCTGCTGTTCGGTCATTATCCCAGCAGTTAAGTGATACAACTGGTGTACCTTCTGGGGAGGTTTCTGCAAGCTCAGTGCTGAAAAATGAAATAAGAATAAAGAATTTAACAAGTTAACAGATGTGTTTATAATAAGTTCAATGTTATCTTGAATCCAAACATTAACTAAAACACATATCAGAATCAGAAAATTAAAAATAGCTCAGATGGGAAAAAAAGCTTGCTTAGTTGCAGGCAAAAGCAGAATAAATTCAGTACAGAATTCAGGAAAAAACCTCTTTACTCAGAGAGTAGTTTGAATGTGTGATTTGAAAATTGAGATCATGAATCCCTACAGTGTGGAAGCAGGCCATTCAGCCCATCGAGTCTACACCGCCCCTCTGCAGTGCATCCCCCACAGACCCACCCACCTTCCATTAATCCTGCATTTCCCATGGCCAATCCACCTAGCCTGCATATCCCTGGACATTATGGGCAATTTAACATGGCCAGTCCACCTAACCTATACATCTTTGGGTTGTGGGAGCAAACTGGTGGACCTGGAGGAAACCCATGCAGACATGAGGAGTACATGCAAACTTCACACAGACAATTGCCCGAGGCTGGGATTGAACGCAGGTCCCTGGTGCTGTGAGGCAACAGTGCTAACCACTGAGCCACCTTGCCACCTCAAATTGGAATCTTGCGATTGCTGGGAATCGAATCTAGGTCAACTGCTTGGAAGGCAGCTATGTTCGCCACTATATCACCATCGTTCGTTATGAATAATATTGATACGATCAAAAGGAAATAAATGTGAGGGAGAAAGGAATAGATGATATGCTGTTGGGTTTAGGGGGAAGGGGGCACGAAGAGAAGTAGGCAGAGGAGGCTCAATGGAATATAAAATCCAGTATGATCTGGTAGTACATTACAAGATATGAGTGTTTTGTTATATTACTCTCACTGCTAGAGAAATGCTATTCAAATTGGTTAATAAAGGCTGCCTGTTGTGTGTCCACATAATTGTCTTAATGCAATACACAGCAAATCTGTTGGACCAAGTGACCTCTTTCTGAGCTTTGTACCTTGTAAAAACTGATCTATATCTTTAATAATTAAGGTTCATCTTTAGCACTTGTTCAGATGAGCATGTAGACATTTGCTGTGTGCAGAAACATGGGGCTAATTAGAATAACAAATGTATACCCTTCCCAATGATTGCAGCATAAACAGATTACCACAATAATGAAGTTACCTTCGTTTATACACATCCTACTGTTTTCAATTTCAATACAGTCAGGACTCTTACCTTTACAACTCAAAGCTTTATAGCTTTGAGTTTATACTATTTTAAGGTACACTAACGGAGGTTCACGTATTGTGTTAGAGTCCCCACTTTTGTCCCAAAGGAACAGAATCAGACCATTTTGATTCAATGGAAAGCCATAATATGACATGTTTGAAGATATAATTCTGAAAGTAATAACCACTAACTTTTAACTTCCATAAGTGGATTTTTACTACTGGGTTTACTGTTTCCTCAAAGTTTTCAATCATTAGACCTATGATTATGTACCCCACCATACATCCTCCCATTGAAAGATTGCAGGATAAATAGTTTGCCACAATAACAGAATCATCACCATCATCATACTGTAGGAATGGGGTACATTAGCTTAACTGAATAGCACACAGTTCAGATATAATAACAATAGCAGAGATTTAATTTTGGTTGTGCTTCAAAATCAGAAATCGCACGAGAAACTCAGGAACAAAAACAGAAGTTGCTGGAAAAGCTCAGCAGGTCTGGCAGCATCTGTGAAGAGAAATCAGAGTCAACGTTTTGGGTCAATTTTCTGATTTACAGCATCTGCAGTTCTTTCGGTTTTTAATATCTTGTCCATGTCTGGTTAATTCTTTGTTAATGATTTGTTTTGCACTGAATGTCTTCTTAATGGGTTAATGCCTTGTTAACTCCAAATTAAAATTTTTTAATGGCTTCCCTCTTAACACTGTAATAATACCTTGTTAAAGCCTTTTCGTATTGTGTTAAAGCATTGTTAGTAAATGTTCAGTGAAAGGAACTGTACTTTTCTGCTGGGGGAAATTAAAATAAGTAGCTAACATTGGCTGATATGGAGTTAATTCAATGATGTAGCATGTATACTATTACAATTTGCTATAATTGGCACTTTAGCTACTTCAGTGTTGCCACTAGAGAACAAAGATTCCACAGAGAACATCAATTTACAGCAGTTTCCAAAACAAACTACCATGGTGCACTAGAATCAGCTGAGCACTCCTGAGCTGAGAGCACTTTGATCAAGTCAGCAGTAAATCCACCTGCTCAGGTGTATTCCCTACAAGGTCCTAAAATCTAGATGTTCAGATAAATTTCCAGGAAAAGAATAACTAGAATTAATTGCAAGTTAATTAAGATATAATTTTAAATATCAGCTACACAACAATGATGATTCATACAGTTTACACAACTTGAATTTATAGTTTATGCCTGTGATTTCAATCTTTAGAAATAACTTACATGCATAAAAACAACTAACAGATCTGCTCTTTTCAAATTTTGTTAAATGACTATAGTCAGTGAATTGCAATGTACAAATTGTAGCTGTACTAAATGTCTTACAGTTCCTACTCTCAATCTTGATTAGTGTTCTTGTTAAATATTGGTAGGTGCTTTAAGCAGCTTGAGTGGAATGTAATCAGCGTTGCTGTTAAGTTTTGATTAGCCAGCTTTCTATTGGTACTCTTTGTATCATGAAAGAACGAGATTCACTCAATGCAAAACTGAATCGATTGGTATTTCTGTCTGTTGTTATGATATGGGAAAAAAAGTTACAAGATTAATTTATATTAGTAGATTTATATAAGTAGGCACCATCATAGGGAATCTTTGGTTTCATGTTGAATATAGCCAAGTTAATTGCTCATAATGCAATATAGGCCTTGTTTCGGGCTAAATCAAGCAGAGATGTGAAGCACTTATCTGGTAAAATACTGCATTAAACAACATAAAGTAAGTTATTTCTTGTCTCATGTAAAATCTTGCAGATAAGTGACTTGAACTGATTTCTTTATTACATTGCTGGTAATTTATTGGTGGGCAGAACTGATACTGTGTAATATCGTCGTAGGAGTTGCTACGACCGGAAAAGAAACATAATAGTACATTATTTGGCAATATTGCGATGAGTTGAAAGGGATATCACACCAATAATCAGGAGGTTTACCTACATTCTCCACATATGTCACATTAACTCATAGGTGTGTATCTTCTGTAAGGAGTACGACCGTTCATCCTGTAGAAATCCTCATAGTCATGTAATGTCATGTTATTTGCTAATAATACCTTGTTGTGCTTCTTTCTCAGGCCAGGTCCCATTTTCCTCTTTACTCTCAATCTCATAATGGTTCCTTCCATACTAACAAGGCTTATTGTCTAACAGGCAGTAATGCTGGAATTAAAATTCAGACCTCTGAATGCAAATTCAATAATTGTTAAAATGGTACTCACATATAGAGATATCTGGAGCACTGAGGAGGATTATCATTAATGTCTGCAATGTGGACTGTAAGTGTGGCTGTGGAGGAATGAACTCTGTCTAAATCATAAGCTCTTATTTCCAGGATTGAAGTGGTCAGCGTGTCGGAATCATCATAATCCATGGGGTAAGCCACTTTGATCTCACCTGTGTCTGTAAAGGAATTGCATAAATTTTATTGTAACATGGAACAAAAGCAGAAAATGTTAAACTGGTGGCAAATTTGTATAAAAATAACCATTTAAGGTTATTTATCCAGAATAAATATCGACATCTTGTTTGCCACATGCAGTGCTTTCTTCAGGATATTATTTACATCAGCTGCTTTATTATGTGATTGAATTGTTGATGCATCAGTATCAATAGAGCAGTAGATTATTTGTGAATCAATAAGATTAATGGCACATTTCAAATTGCACATTGTTTGAAGAGTTGATATGAAAGACAAAATAACTATTCGTTAATTATAATGCAGAATGTTATTAACATCAGTAACAATGTACTACTACAGACCTCCATGAAGAAATATAGACTTCGATTTAATAAAATGAAGCAATTGAATTTAACATGGTTTTTAAAATATCTATTTCTGCTTTGCAAACCTAAATTGCACAAGAGATTCATGACTGAAAGAAGTAAGTTGTTGAACTGTCTGTTTTTAATGCTTGTATCAACAAATGCAAATTTTCATTGCATTGCTGCTTTGATAACTCTTCTAAGACAATACCCTTTGTGAGATCATCGATTCTCCTCAACACATTTATGAGCAATTCAGAATAATTTTCACAAAATGGTGACCAGTGGGCATGGCAAAGGTCATTATGGGGGCTACCTCTGCTTTGATGTACATCAATGATCGAAAAGAAAACTGGATAGCATTAAAAGCAGCTAGAACTTTAAAATACCATGGTCGATCAGTGACTATTGCTTTTGAATGATATGTTTCAAAACAATTCCTCAATTCATGAAAAAGTACACTATCATGTTGGTCAAAAAACCGCAATCAGCTAGAAATTATATGTATTTTAACCAACCTGTTCAAGTGTATTGTGGCAGGTGAGATTTAAGTCCTGACCTTCTGGCTCAATGATAGAGAAAATCCCACGGCCACCACAAGACCCCCTACTAGAATTTATAAGCTCATAAAACAAGGGTCAATAAAGGATCATGACAAAATGCACCCAAAATATGCAAAAGAGGCTTATGAGGTCTGCAGTGAAACGAATTTCTAATCAATGCATTGCTTTACATGAAAAGTGAAAAGCCTTAAGTAATTCAGAAATGGTGATAAAACTACTTTTTATCTATAAAATAGTCTCAAAATCATTCCTTAATGGTATAATCATTGAGGAGGAATTGAAATCTCAAATTATAATGTTCAAAGCTTGTTAATTTATTCTTAGGCCTGCATAATGTGAAGTAGAAATGTAAAATTACTTTGAATATATGAAGCCTAGTGATTTGCGCATGTCTTTAAATAATCAGATAATTAAATCTCTCTTTATTTGATTATCCTTTTATGGTCAATTAACTGCCTTATAAAGTTGGTTTAAACTTCAACTTAGGTAGTTCAATGTCTATAGATGCCTGCAATGTTAACACACATCAATAAGTAACATGATTCAAGTAACTTTGGTCAGCATTTGCCATGGTTAAAGTGTGAATTGAACAGTGATTTCTGATGACGTGGGAAATAGAACATAGTTGCCAAAGGTGATCAATGCCAAAGAAGCCGCACAATGCTCATTAAGGGCTTGGCATTCAAAGAGTGTGCAGATATTGTACTTAAATAATAACCACTGAATATACCCATCAAAATTAGGACCTGTCCATTTAAGCGAAGTGAATTTTTCACAGTATGATGGTCTTAATTTCTGTCAATCTACCCCCTTGGCCTTAAATTAACTTTCACATTTGTGTAATCTTTTTCTCTTTTTTTCAAATTTAAATTATTAGTGGAGCTTTATATTTTTAAATAAACCTTTCATGACAACACCAGTATAATACTTGGTTTGGTAACAAGCTGAATTGACCTTTTAACTGATTTCTTTTAATAATGCTGTCACTGCTCCTCCCCAAAAATTAATCTCGTTGGAGGTCGGGGTGTGTGGGGGAGGGGGAGAGAGGGAGCCATAAAATCTAACCCCTGACGTTGCTTGCCCTGTTCTTCTGAGTCTCGGATCACCCAGAAGGGCTTTGTGCTGAAAGAGATTTCTAATCGCTGCAATTTCTGGTGTAAACACTCTGAGTATTTGGAGGCATGTATGAAACTAATGAACATCTCTCAACAATCATCTGCTAACTGCAAATTTCAAGCCCTTAACTCACTAAGCCGTTAGTGCTTTCTGCTTTAGATGTTGCTGCATTTACCTGGTAATTCTTAACTTAAATTTTATGAATTATTGGTGCAGATGCCTCATTAAAATTTATTAGGGTTCTGTCATACATCATTCAAAGTGCAGCATGATAGGTTTATCCTTCAGCCATACATTTTTGTTCAAATAATCATAGCGTCCTAATGATGTGCATTTTAAGTAATTGTATTTGATCTTACCTTCTTCAATCAGGAAGCCAGTATAAGTTTTCACAAATTCGTAGTAAATGACATCATCCGCATCCTTGTCTGTGGCATTAACTTTTATTACCAATGTTCCCCTGGGCAGACTTTCATTAATGGTTAATGGATTTGGTGAGATTGCACTTGAAAGACACAACAAAATGGCTTAATTCTCCTGGGCATGGAATGATGTAGCTAAACCTTCGATTTAAACCAATTTTTATCATTAAACACTCTTAGAGACAATACTTTGGACAAACCATTAGAATCAATCAAAAATAAATAAAACATTTTGGATAAATAGAGTTTTTCCACTTATTATTAGTGAGATAAGACAGTGAACCACCTAGGCATGCTCAGTATAAGTTATAAAAGCTTTCTTGAAGATGACAGTAAGATTGAATGCACAATTCATCAACTATATTAGCCCATTTTATGTGATAATTTAAACTGATGTGATAATTTAGTTTATGATCACATCAAATCAATTGATTTTATTCTTGTGCAGAAATGTCATCAAAATAAAGAAGTGTGAACACACAGCGATTATATTTCCAAGTCAATATGGTGAGTGGCCTATTGGGGAGCATGCAGTTGATGGTGTTCACATGTATCTGCTGCCCTTGTCTTTCTAGATGAGCGTGGCCATGGGTATGGAAGATGCTGTCTAAGGAGCCTTGGTGAATTTCTAAAATCCACCTTGTAGATGGTAAACTAATGCTACTGAATTTCAACGGTGGAAGAAGAATCTGGCATCATGCCCACAAGCAGTCAGGTGGGCCACTTTGTCCTGGATGGTGTCAAATTTCTTGAATGTTGTTGGAACTGTACTCAAGGCCATTGGAGTATGTTTGGTCACACTCCTGATTTGTGCTTTGGCGATGGTGGACAGGCTTTTGGAGTCAGAATTTGTGTTACTCACTGCAGGACTCCTACCTACCTTATTCTTATTTATATGATGAGTCCAGTTCAGTTTCTGGTCAATGGTAGACACCAGGATGTTGATAGTGAGGAATTCAGTGATGATAGTGCCATTGAATGTTAAGGGATGACTATTAGATTCTCACTTGATGGACATGGTCATTGCCTGTCACTTGTTTGGCACAAATATTACTTGCCACCGGTGAGCCCAAACCCGGAAATTGTCTAAGACTTACTGCATTTGAATGTCGACAGCTTAATTATCTGAGGCGCTGAACATTCTGTAAATCATCAGCAATCATCCCCATTGCTAACATTATGATGAAGGTAAGGTCATTAATGAAACAGCTGAAGTTGGTTTGGCCTAGGACATGCTATTGAGGAACTTCTGCAGAGATGTCCTGGAGCTGAGCTGAGGTGGCTGACCATCAACAACCACTTTCCTTTGTGACAGGTATGAGTCAACAAAGATTCCTAGTCACTCCAGTTTTGTGAGGGCTCCCGGAAGCCACACTCTGTCAAATGCAGCCATTATGTCAATGTCAATCGCTCTCACCTTACCTCTGAAATTCAGCTCTCTTGTCCAAGCTTAAACCAAAGCTATCTATGATGAGGTCAGGAACTAAGCTATAAATAAGCGTGAGTATTGTACTTTGACAAGTCAAATCAAGGTAGGACTTGTACAGTAAATGGGAAGGTCCTGAGGAGCATTGTAGAACAGAGGGACCTAGTATTACAAGTACATAATTCGTTGAGAGAGGCGTTACAAGTGGACAGGGTGGTGCAGGAGGCATTTAGCGTGTTGGCCTTCATCGGTCGAAGCATTGCCTACAGGAGTTGGGACATTGTTACAGTTGTATATGTTCGTTGGTAATGCCGCACTTGGAGTATTCTGTACAGTTTTGTTCACCCTGTTGTAGGAAAGACATACTTAAACTGGAAAGTATGCAAAGAAGATTGATGAGGATGTTGCCAGGACTAATAGGCCTGAGTTATAGGGAGAGGTTGGCCAGGATAGCACTTTATTCCTTGGAACGTAGGAGAATGAGGGGTGAACTTATTGAGGTATATAAAATCATAAGGGGTGTAGATGGGACAAATACATATAGTCTTTTTCTCAGGGATGTGAACTTGAAAACTAGAGGGCATAGGTTTAAGGTGAGAGGATAAAGATTTAAGAAGGACATGAGGAGCAACTTCTTCACACAGAGAGTGGTGTGTATACGGAATGGGCTGCCAGAGAAAGCAGTTGAGGCAGGTACACGAGCAACATTTTTAAAAATATTTGGATAGGTGCATGGATGGGAAAGGTTTAGAGGGATATGCGCCAAATGTGGACACTTGAAACTAGCTGAGTGGGCACCCATGGTCAGCATGGACCAGTTCGGGCTGAAGGGCCTGTTTCCACGCTGTATAACTCTACTCTACGACTCTGACACTGCAAAGAATATGTGGCTGAAAATTTAGTTTTAAAAGTGAATGGTAGTGGTTCAAAGCAGTTCATAAAAAGTAAATGCAAATGAATGAAACATTGGTGAGTGGTGAAAGTTGTGTCATGTTGTCTGTCTGTGTTTTTCTGGGTGGCTGTTACTCAAGCGGCAGAGATTTTTAAGCAAAGGCACCATGAAGACAAAGGACATCTTTCTGCAAATAATTATTTGCATGCACAATCTTTGCAGCAGTTTTAAAATAAGCACACTCAATCAATCTCTAGCTCCAAATTCATTGTGACATACCCATTATACAAAATCAAAATTACTCACCTGAACAGAGGTGATTCATCATTGAGATTTTCAAGATTAATTGTAATGGAGCCAGTGCAAGATTTAGGGCTACTCTTTCCAACCTCAGTTACTTCGACTTTCATCTGAAATCTCTGTTGTAGAAAGAATTTTAAAAGGTACAGCATTAATCTTCTTATCATTCAAGATGGTAACACAGTGTTACATATCACTGGATTAGGGTTTGTTTTGGGTTTGGTGATTCACTCTGACCAATCCTGTGCTGTACCAGGCAAGACGATCTCAGAGAGTCTCGCTTTCCTCAAGGATATGGTTGTGTATGTGCAGGACAGTGGGGTGGGTGACTGCCACATCAGCCTGGACCAGGTGAAGATCTTACACAGAATATTACACACCTACATGTGTGTGACTCACGGCTTGGGGGCATGAGTTCAAATCCCACTGCAACAATGTAATTTAAATTTAGTTAACAAACTGGGAATATATAAATTAGCTAGTGGTCTCCATGACAACTGTCATAAAAAACATCTGATTTACTAATGTCCTTTTTAAAGGAAGGAAATCTACTGTTCTTACCCAATCTAACAGACTCCAGATCTACAGTAACATAGTTGTCTCTGAAAAAGCTAAGCAAACCACTCAAGGTCAAGAGCAATTAGGGTAGGACACCAAATACTGGTGTTGGCAACGCCACCCAAATCCCACGAAGAGAAATTAACAATCTTTTTATAGAAATTTCAACCTAACCAAGAACAGCAGAAGTAATTATTGCAATGGAAAACTCAACAACTTGCATTTATATAGCATCTCTAACATACGAACAGGAATAGGCTACTCAATGCCCCCAATAATGTTCCAGGCAACTCATCATCCGTGAACCTAAACTGATGGAACTTCACACTATAAATGCTCCAGAAGTGAAGCAAAACTGAACTGGTTTAATCACAACTATTGTTAGAATAAACAAGACATTTACAACACAATAATTAGTCAAATCCTAGTCATTTACCGTCAAACCATCTTCATAATCTAAGGGTGAAACTGAACTTCTAGAAATCAATCCACTGTTGGAATCCAGTGTGAAGTACTGAGCAGTTCCGGTAGTTTCATCGGTAATACTGTACTGGAACGTGTGTATAAGTAAAAGAATAAGTAAATGGTGCAAAAATTCAGAATAAAATCTCAGTCTTAATTTTCAGAGTTATAATTTATTGGTATTTTGTTCAATTACAAAGGGAATAATAAGTTCCTTGGCTATTTGACTTCCCTCAGGAAGTGGATGATTATCAAATAGAATACTAGACAATCTCTTATGACCATTCACACAGATAATCAAAGAATACACTGATATTTAGCTTTGTTATAACAGAATTCATGGAGGCAATGCACTTTTTGCATGGAAAATCTGTAAATGCCAAACTGCATTCCCACAGCATCACCCTGACCAATTAGACTTTACCTGCCTGGCCTGAGATCAAAGATTGACAGTTAACAATTTTTGTTGTGCCTTCAGGCCCATGATGGTCCAACCAATTAACACCTTCCTCTTCTTGGCCTTTTAGCTCAGACCAAGTGTAAGCTCCAAGTTGCGACTCATTGCCAGATTGTGATTGGATGTTGGAGGATCGTCATTTGAACTGAGCTGCTATTGGTGGATCTTTTACTGGCTTTGTCCTAATGTCAATTCCATGTACAGCTATGGCCATTGCAAATGCCTGCACCTCAAGCCAGGGTGACCAGAACACAGTCAGGGTGACTGTAAAGAAACTTGAAAAAAGAGCTCTGGTCAATTGGGCCTTTTTCAGGAAGAGGATCCTCCTGGACTCTGTGCTCTAAGTCTGTTTTCCAGAACATCCACTGAGACATAAATTGACTACACCTGGGGGACCATCAAGAGAGCGTGTGTGTGTGTGTGTGTGTGTGTGTGCGCGTGTGTGTGTGCGCGCGCATGCGCGCGCGCCTTTGGTCTGCCTGAAACGTATTGTTCTTCCGTGGAAAGCGTTGACCTTGACCGAGTGTTGCAGACTGGCACGTTGCAAAGTCCAGGACTACATGGTAATAAATACACTAAAGGTTGGAGCAGCTGCTGTAAAGGTGCAATGGGAATAGAGAACTGTCTAAGGTTTTTCTGCCAAAAGTACAAAGGGCCATTCAATTATTAGACTCTTTCTCTGCCTCAAATTGTACATAAGTGGTATCCTGCAAGAGTAGGAAATGCCTCTGTTTGCAACTGCAGGGAATGTCAAATTTCAATGTTAGTTTTTTTTCTTATAAATGCTAAGAGTTTACAGAACTGTTTTAGTACCTTCTGCCTATACATGACTTTTTATGAATAAAATATATATTTGCAGCTTAAAAACAAAACAGCACATTCCTCTAATGCTGTATAAATTGGACGCACCTTTTTCAAGTTTGTTTCTTGTGACCTAGTTTTGATCAGTGCAAGACAAAAAACATCGACTTATTTCCTTCTTAAGCAATGTTTAAGTGCACTGCAGTTACTTGAAAAGCCTCTTCCAACAGCACTTTCCAAACTCTCAACCTCTCCCACCTGCATGGGTGGCAGAAATAAAAACGCACTGCTACCTTAAGTTCCCCTCCAAGCCACTCACCAACCCGACTTGAAGCTATATTTGCCTTTTGTTCATTGTGACTGGGTCAAAGTCCTGGAACTCCATACCCAACAGTGATTTGGGCATCCCTACGTCTCAGGGACTGCAACTGACCACCACCTTCTCCAGTGCAATTAGGGATGGTAATTAATGCTGACCTAGCCATGTACAACCATGCCCTTTTAACAAATACAATTTTTTTAAAAAAAACCTTGCGTTTGTCTCAGATTTATAGCCTCAAGAGCTTTTTGTTCTGCAATAGGAAGTGAAATCTTACGAACTGGGTATTAGGGTGAAACCTCTATCAGAATTTATATCTGACTCCCAACACCGACAACTTGCTTTTTACCAGCATAAACAAATTAAAAGCTCACCTCTGAGCTCCCTCACTAATTAGGGTCCAAGACCGGGATGATTCTGTCATGGGGTCAATCTCTAATTAAAGGGAATTTGGTATGTTTCAGTAAAGATCACTATGATTGGGATTTTTGATGCTGCTTCAAGTGCAGTAATGTTTGCTCTGCTATCTCCATTAAGTCCTGTGAAATCTGAGGAAATCAGGAGCTTCTCCAACGAACTAAAACATGGAAGAAAGTTGCTGACAGTGACAGGCACCTTGTTGGCCATTGGGAATGTGTTCCCACCTGCTCCAAAAGGAGGGAGGGCTTGTTCCAGAGGATGCAGGTGATCTGCAAAGAGAGCCTGATCCACTAGAGGCACTGGTGCTCTGGCATATTGGGTGAACCATTACCCTGTCATTACATCCTGTGTTGGGGATCTTCTTTCCTTTGAGCAGGACCTTGATGGTCATCTCCTCTGCCCTGTGGAGTGATAGGTAGCCAAAAAGAAGGCATGTTGCTCATATTGAAAGTGGTGTGGCTTGTGTCGCTGTCTCACGTCAGAGGTGGAAGATGAAGCTACAATAGAGGAGCTGATGTGATTAAGAGTGGGTGCAGGCCAGTGAAGTGCTTTCCAACAAATTGGCAACCAGCTGTAGAGCAAGTGATAACACTCACTACTAAAAGACAAAGTGTTGTGAACAGTAACCTCCACTGGCCAAAGTTGGAGCCTTTCAATTTCTCTGATCAAAGATTTCCCAGCAGATCAGTTTCACTGAAACAGCTCTTGCTACTGCACTCTCATCTCCGTGACCTTGGCAAGAAGTTGATTGGCAAAGAAATAACTTCTACATTTTGGAAGACCAAGGTCTAAAGCTGGAGGCCATCATAATTGGCTTCATAATCTCAAGGAATTCTTCATTACTTACTTAATGTATCCAAGAGAGTTCCTGATTAACTTCAATCTTCCAACAGCCCCACTCCATCCAAAACCCACCCCAACCCCCTGACAGAAAAGTCCAGAGAGGACAGGAACATGCAGGGATCCCAACCCAATACTGTATTCTGTGAATTTCCTACTGTGTCCACCCTTGAACTCACTTCTAACAGCCAGTTTTTGTTTTGAGAGTGTACAGTATGATTCAGTGCAAGGCATGAGCATAATTAGATGTTACCATCCTTCCAACTTGCTTCTGTGGACTGTAATGTAATATTTATAATTGGTGGTTTTGGTCAGAAAATTAGCATGCTGTTAGCATACTCATAGTGAGTTACTTTTTAACTGTAAATATCTGTTAGTTAATTTTAAAGTAACCTGGCTAATAGAACTAGAGATAACACGGTGTAGAGCTGGATGGACACAGCAGGCCAAGCAGCATCACTGAAATTGGTTGCATCTAATTTTGAAACATGAGCAACAACTTACATTTATGCTGTGCCTGTGACATAGCAAAATGTCACAAGGTGCCTCAAACATGCAATCTGGCAAATATAGACAACAAATTAAAACATTAAAGTGGATATTGAAAACCTGGTCAAAGAATTAAGCTTTAAGGTGGGTGTCAAAGTAGGAAAGATGGAGGGATCCAGGGAGAGAAAATTGTGTTTAAATGGAGGGCCCATGGAGATCTATATACAGAAGTACTATTACAAGATTTTTTCCATTTTTTTTTTCTATAACCAATAAATAAGCGTCAGTTCTTCATCATAATTTATATTTCCTTATTGTTCAAGTAAGAATATTAATCTGAGCTTACTTACTTGAATAGAATCATTGGCATCTGGGTCAGCAGCAAGGATCTGATAAATTGATGTAGAGGTGGGAAAATTCTCAGGAACAACAAGAGAAACACCTGGTTTAAATAGAAAAGCCATCGGATAATCTAAATGCAGAATAGAGCCCCATTCCACAGTGACACCTTGAGTTTAATTTAGCAATATGCTGGCAGTTCACCCTGTTCTTTCTTCAGTAATGTGTCTCTGCTCTAATGAGTTTTTTCAATAAGGTTAGTGAGGTTACTACAGGAGTTAATCAATCGGAAAATGTTATCACCAGGTCAATCAATTTTAATAAATTATAGTCAATAAGCTATTGACTTCTATTTATTAAATTTGAATTCTTAAACATACAATCTGTAAGTAAGGCAGTTAATCACTTTATGGTTAAATTCTTCTGTTGATATTTTTAGCAAAGATGGAATTTTGTGTGTTATATTCATGTCAACTTTCTGCAAAACTAAATCAAAAAAACATTTACATCCACATGTATTCAAAAACACTTAAACATGAATGGACTATCAATTTTATCCACAAGCCCACTTCACAATCAGCCAATTGTTGAACAGACACAAAGAGAAGAAAATTGATTAGAGCAACACGAGAAGATGCTAAACAATATGGGGCTAGATGGCATTGGGAAGGTGAGGGGAGGGGAGATAAGGACTATTCACCCTCCCAACAAAAAAGCCAGTCAGAAACTGGTGACAGTAACACAAGTTGGGCAGAGTGGCACCTCTGTCCCACACAAGGGAACAAGTCCTGCCCATAGGAGCTGCCATTGGATCTGGTTGCTATCACTCCACCAGCAGCACCATGAACTCAGCAAGCAAAACCCCTGCCACTCCTGAAGAAGGCAATCATGGATCCTGAGTGGAGTTAAGTGCATACTAGTAGTGGGGACAGGTGAAGGAAGATGAATCGAGGAGCAAGATTTGGAGAACAGGTAGGGAGGAAGGTGATGTGCTCCTGATTCTGAGGGGGTGGGGATGTGGGGAGGTGCCTGTCCTGCAGAGGGTAACCTCATTCCTGCCCACCCTTTTACAATTCTGTAAATGAAATAAGTCAGCTGCTGCTCCCTGACCCCACATCCTCAACCATCGGCAGCATAGCTTTTAACAAGCTCAATGGACCTTTCATTTATTACATGTGTTAGTAGGACAGCTGACTTCAGAGCCAACATCCTCTTTGTTATGGGATGTGAGCTCAGGAGTTGGTGAGAAGGTAGTGGGCTAACAACCAGACCTAATTTCCATGCACACCCTCTGAAACATACTCAGTAGAAGCATGTCATATTGAGTCCTGTATCAAGGGTGGTTCACAGGTATTTACACTGGAACCAAAATGTTGAACTGGGACAACAGAAAGATTAGCACAGTTACCAAAAACTTGAAGTGGCAGTCATTAAGGTGTTTTTATTTTTGAATAAGGAAAAGGAATAGCAAGGTTTAAGGAGAGTATGTCTGTGAGCAAAACCCAAATGGCTGAAATCTCAGCTACAGTGATGGCTCTAAGGAAGGTCAGATTGCAAACAGGCCAGTGTTCAAGTGAGGGCCCGAGGGAAGCACTGGGACGGAGAAGGCTGCAGAGTTAGAAAGAGGCAAAGTCGGCAAGGAGTCAAAACTGACAGTAAATGAAGATCATGGAGGCTAAATGAACAATATATCATATGGGACAAGTTGGAATTTATGTAGAATTAGGATTTGGTTTGCCAGAAAGGAAGGAGTCTGGAGTTATCCTTGATTGTTGGTTCATCTTCTAGTAATTAATATGGAGTCTGAATGAGGACTGCAATGATCAATCACTCTTGACCTACAGACTACACTGTACATAAATGATGTTTGGCTTAAATTAAAATACTTAAATTGACAAAGCACAATCAGATAAAATCTTGATCTAAAGCAGAAAATTTTCTACTTACTTTACCAAAAGTAAATCCATTATTTTCCTGCCTTGAAGAAAATGTTTTCCTTTAATCACTTGAATTCCATTTGTAATTAATTTAGGCTTCAATCCAACTATGTGACACAAAAGCACAATCTCTGCTGGCTTCTTTTCCCATTTTAAATTTTGCAGGTCAACAGCTGGAATTTTGACCCAAATCTAAAATTCCAGATCTTCTCTTTGATTAGTTATTGAAATTCAGATAGTTTTATTACTGAAATTTACAATTAAGATGTACATACCTGCTCCCACGGTGAATGCAGGATCACAGACAGGTGCTTCGTCCACATCATCCACTGACACTGTCAGCGTGTAAGTGGACGAGTGTGTACGATTGTTATCATATGCTCTGATGGGTAATAAATGAACTTTTGCAACATCAGGGCTGTCATAGTCTAGCCGCATCTGTAAGGCGATATCGCCAGAATCTGACAAATGAGAAGTGACATTTGTTAAAGATCAAACTGCTAATCTTGTGATTCTTTAGGTAGAAATTGGATGGACTGTGTGTCATATACTCTGCCCATTTGAATTACTGTTGACCAGTTTTTCAAGGCCTCCCAAAGTGAAATTTAAAGCATTTCTCAACACTTTGTTTCGGTGGGGTCACAATTGGTGCACAGCAAGATCCTACAAATAGCAAATAAATCAGACAGAATCTGTTTTGTTGATGTATATGTACAGGACACAGGGAGACTTACCCTGTACTCTAGCAAAATTATCCTATGGAATCTTTCTGCACACACCTCAGCAGGCAGATGGAGGTGTGGTTGACTGTATAGTTCCCTTAACTTTGTAATTACCTGGCATCAAATGGTCACTGATACTTATGAATCACATTACGCAATTATTTACTAGGCAAAATGTTTTTACTGCAAAGTAATAGTGTGAGATGGCTAGCTTCACCTGTTCTTCAAATTGTTGAGATACCTTCTTTTTCCTGGATAATCTAAGGTTGACTTGGTCATGGACAAAGTGGGTGTTTGATGAGTTTCAATAGTATGTGTTATGTATAGTGAATGATGGTTAGAAAATCAAATTTCTCAAATGTGTCATTGACACACCAGAAGTATGTTAGGGATAGAAGGTCAGTGGTCATTTTATTGAAGATGCATTTCTTATAGTGACTAACGAAGATGTTAGCACGAGTTGGATCTAGAGGGGATCCCATGGCAACACCATTTGAGTGTAAATGCTGCCATTGAAACTGAAATTAACTGAATGAATTATTAAGTAAAATGAAAACAGATTTACACATCCTAACTCATCTATATTGTTATGTTATACAAGTAATCCCCAGGTTGCAAAAGGGTTCAGTTCTTGAGTATGTTTGTAAGTTGATTTGTACACAAGTCAGAACACTACAGAACAATATAAACTAATGTTTAAATACAAGCAAATGTTCACATATCAGATCTTTAATCTTAATTTACCCCTGTATTAGGATCTCATTCGTTAAGTATGAGGACTCCAGTGTTGGACATTGGTAAATCAGGGACCGCTTGTAGTAGTATAGTGCAAATGTAAGTGATGTAAAAACACATGGACCCAGCATTGCTCTCAGCTGTTTGCCTTGTACAGTCTTTTAAACAAAAAATGAAGGAAAAGTGTGGAAAACTCATTTAAAATTGGTTTCATAATCACAAATGGAAAGGTATATCACTGCGTAAGCAAAAGGAATTTGTCCACATGTATTTTTAGTGAGGAAAGGTTCAAAGAGACTGGCAATCTCTGCTGCATTTCTCATTCAGAGTTTACTTGCCTTGATTTGAATTTTTCTAGTGAATTATGAATGACAGTTCCTGTTGTATATCAATGCCAATAATGGTGCAACAATTTGTGGTTGTTTTTGTAATGCTTTTGTCATGCTGTTTTAAATTGGTGTTGCCTTACCAAGTTTAGTTTCTTGCATATAAGTCCAAATGAGTGCAAGACAAAAAAGCTTTGACTTTGTGTTTCTATTTAGCAATGTTTCAGCTCCTTTCCATGTGGGATTGATTTGTTGGTGTTCATGTTTCTGCTGCAAGCTCAGAGAGACTTACCAACATCTATGGAGAAAAGTGGCTGAGGATCAATAAACTCAAAGAAAACATTATCACTTTCATCCAAGTCAGAAGCTTCCATCTTCACCAACAGAGTTCCAATAATCACTTCCTCTTTTGTACGAATTGTATCTGAGGGGACTGGACTGTTATAAGAAAAAGCTTCAAGCATTCCAAAAGTAAACATTTAATAAAATTAAACTTTGTACAGTTAACATTAAGCCCTCAACAAACGTATTGCTGATTTATCAATACCTCATTTTGTAACATTTCTGTCTGTAGTAGACATGATAGCCCTACAGCAAGACTTAGCAATGTAAAGCAGTTTTACATTGCTACAAGCAGCCTAATAGAATTCAAGTGTCAGAGTAAGCAGCTTTTAGAAAGTGAAATGCAATCTATTTTGTCTAGTTTGCAATAGTGAACCAGATTTTTATCTTCTACTGGAGACACAATTTAATGTTAAAAAGCCGAACTTACATTTGCTGGGAAATCATTTTCCTTCACCTTCCAACCCAGTACCATTTTTGTGTGACCTTTCTGTAGATTGGGAAGGAAAATGGGTGCAAAATGCAAATACATCTCTTCTGAGGACCACCAGAAAATTGTATTTGCATCTGCACACAACTTTCATGTACAGTTGCAGGTTGTGGAAGCTCTGAAAAAGCACCTCCTAAAGGAGTTAAAGACTACTGGGTGAAATCTGCTGACAAGCCAGACCATTCTAACAACTTGAAACATTATTAATTGCAGTGTTGTAATGTAGATGTATTTTTAGTTAATGATTCATTTCAGGCCACAGGAAAATCTGGTGCAATTAGGCTACACATTACGTAACTGATCACTGAGGCACTTATGTCTCCTGTTTGAATAGCTTTACATTTAAGCAAGAACGGACAAGGCTGTAAACTCTCTGCAATCACTACAATTTAGCTCTCAATAGCTGTTTTCCTTTGTAATGGTGTATTGGTGAAACAGACTTGGATCTCAGCAAGTTTCAGTCATATGCTTGTAGAATTACTGTCTTTCTGCTCATCCTGAGACCCCAGAGTGAGTCAAAGAAGAGTAAACAAACTTTTTTTGAAATCAGCCTTTGCTTAACTAAGGTCTCTTTGCATTAAAATCTCTCTGATTAAAACATTGGTAGAAGCAGAAACTCTTGCTATATTTAAAAGTACTCTGGATATTTACTTGAAAAATTGTAACTTGCATGGCTGCAAACCCATTGCTGGAAGGTGGGGTGAGGCTGCATAGGTTCTTAATGACAGGCACGGACATGATGGACCACAAGGTCACTTTATGTATTGTAAATTTTCTATGATATACAATAATAAACAGTTGATCAGTTGAGAGCTATCCTCTGTACAATCGAATCTTCAATCTCATACAATTTCTAGTGTTAACATTTCAAAGCTTCATTAAATAATTCAATTCAGCTTTTCTGTAGAAAATTCGCCTCTTTCATGTTCAGTACTTGTTACTGTGATGTTAATTCCTGTAGACACCATAACATTCAATAAGCAGATCATACTCTGTACATTTAAGTGTAGCATTATGGCTGGTGTAGTCATTTCTTTCAATTGGTAAGTAAGCAACATTAAGATTACATTTGTTTTACTTACGTAAATATGGGTGCCTCATCATTCAAATTATTAACTATTATAGTCAGAATTCCTTTGCATGACATCTGCGGAGCTGGACTTCCTTCATCATTTACCACAATCTTTAGTGTGAAAAGCTACGCAAGCCAATAGTAAAAGAATAAGCAATATGCATTTTTTAAACATTCTGCTTTGTGGCTTTATTCCATATATCTGTTCTATCAATCAGACTTATTTAAAGTTTACAGCTGTTAAACTGATACCAGTCAAATCTAGTTGCATTTGAGGCTAGATGATGCAAAAGATATTGCTGTTTGACAATGAATCATTGCTATATGCTGCTTTTAACACTTTGCAGTTTCCAGTTTCAACATCTTGCTCATTTGCTTTTGAGGCAAAACGGTTGCTGAGACTGCCAACAAAATGGCTGCTGTCTTACCCGATTAGGTGCCCACCCAGCCTTCAAACCTGCCATGGGGAATGGCATTAAATTATGCCTCGTGTCTCTCTGTGTTTTGTGAAATGCAGCAGCACTGTGACACTGCACAGCTGTCTTGTCGCTGTTGTTCAGTGGATTATGAAATATGTGGTGCTGTGTCCTTACAGTTTTATTGGTCTACCAGTAATAAGACCACAAAATATAGGAGCAGAATTTGGATCATTCGATCAGGGCTGACATGTTTCTCAACCCCACTCTCCTGCCTTCTCCCTGTAACCCTTGATCCGGTTACCAATAAAGAACCTATCAGTTGCTGTCTTAAATACACAAAATGACTTAGCCTCCCCAGCCCTCTGTAGCAATGTGTTCTACAGATACACAACCCTCTGGCTGAAGAAATTCTTCCTCATCTCAGTTCTAAAGGGTCATCCCTTCATTCTGAGGTTGTGCCCTTGGATCCTAGTCTCTCCTATTCATGGAAACGTCTTATCCACGCCCACTCTGTCCAGGCCTCTCAGTATTCTGTATGTTTTAACCAGATACTCCTTCCTCCTTCTAAACTCCATCAAGTACAGACCCAATTATAAAAGATTTAATAGCATAACACTTAGAAAATAGTGACAGGATTATACAGAGTCAGCATGGACTTCCAAAAGGGAAATCCACTATCTCTGGCAAATCTATTCGAATTTTAGTGAGGATACAGCTGGTAGAGTTGATCAGGGAGAGCCAGTGGATGTGGTTTACCTGGACTTTCAGAAAGCATTTGATGATGTCCCAAACAAAATATTAACATTACATTTATGTTCTTCACCCAACATTGGGAGTGGACTGGAAATTGAGGAGAGCATAAAATCAGGTGTGATAATGGGGGTGCACTGGACAGGCATTACCACCTGGGGAGGCTGCCAACTATACCCTGGACCTTGTTGAGGGCTCAGATAGGGAACAAGGCTCCTGAGTGGGCAGCCTGTGCCCTACCAAGGGACTTATGCCTCCAGCAACAAGGGCTGTTCTCAGGGAAGACCACCTCTGCCTTCACTATCAATGCCCTGTCCCTCACTGGGGCCTGTATGTTTACTCCCACTGATGCCCCAATTCCATTTAACAGGTCCCTGGGTCTCCTTTGGCTGATCTACATGACCTGCTGCCATTCCAGCTGTGGCCACCACTCTCAGTGTTGCAGTTGAGACCAGAGAGTTGTTGACCCTCTGCCTTACAGCTCTTGGGAAAGGGACATCCTTTATTAGAGGAACAGAAATTACAATGGTAGGCATTGGGTGGTCAATGTCAAATCTAGAAGGGACTTTCAGAATAAATTCAGTTGAGGTTGCCCCTGTCATTCCAGCCAGAGGAGCAGTGCCACCTTAAAACTTCTACCAGCATCTCTGACCTTTTATATTCACTCATAATTTATAAAACAAAGGCTGGTTGTGACCTCTGTCAGAAGTGTGCAGTTGTTTTAAATTGCATTTTTTAAAAAAAATGTTAATGTAAACAGTTCTAGTTAGTTATGTATAGTCCTGAAGTTGAAGTGATAAATCTGATTGCTCATTACTGTCGTTTAGTTTTGATTAATGTGCAAAAATTAAGAATCCATGGTTTATTTCAGGATTCGATCTTCTCATTCAGTAAATAATACAACAATTAATTATTGTCACTGCTCCATTAATGTTTCCTTACATGATATGTGTTGTCATAGTCTAATACTGTAGTAGAGTTTCTGAACACAATTCCAGTATCAGGATCAATGCTGAATAAGTACCCTCCTGTAACAGGGCTAGACTCCTGGGACTCAATGCTAAACTGATAGAAAAACAAAAAAAAACTCATTAGTTGTTATTCAGAATAAATCATGTTACTTGCGTTAGTCCAGATGCAGTGTATTTTATATGTGTGTGACGCACACGCACACACCAGCATGCACACCTGAGGTTTGAGCAATGAGCTTTTAAGCTCAAAGTTCTGTTTGAAACTGTGTAAACTACTGCTTTAGATGCAAACTTTTGGTATGATTTTCGGAAGGCGCGTGGGCTACATTTCTAAAATTGTCCTGTGTGGATATCTATTTATAAGATTCAGATATCAGGAAAAACTTACTGTCATTGAATCGTCCATATCAGGGTCTGTAGCATTAACTTGGTAGATGGATTTCAGATTTGAGTAGTTCTCATCAATATCCACTGTGGCTGCAAAATAACCACAATTTTTGACAACTTAAATGCATATAACATTGTGGAATTATATGTGGAATGGTTATTTTTACAGGACACAAAGTGGTCATCATCTCATTCCTCTCATCACCATCATCTCCCTTTGGCCTGAACTGTCATAGTGAATTTCATCTTGCTGGCCTTCTTGTGTCACCTTTATCAAGGGGATCCTTCATGGACTTTGCTTCGAATGGCTCAGTGGTAAGCTCTGCTGCCTCACAGTGCCAGTTTGGGTTTGATTCCATTCTCGGGCAACTGTCTGTATTCTCTGTGGTTTTCCTCCTGGTGCTCCTGTTTCCTCCCACAGTCCAAAGGTTGAGCAGGTTAGGTGGATTGGCCATGGCAAATAGCCCATAGTGTCCAGAGATATGCTTGCTGGGTGGATTAGTCATGGGAAATGCAGGGTTACAGGGATAGGGTAGGATGCTTTTCTGAGGGTCAGTGTGGATTCAATGGGCCAAACGTCTGCTGCCACGTTGTTGGGATTCTATAATTCTAATGAAACTTGTATTTTATTGTTACCATACAATAAAACATATCTTGTTAAGATGAGACCCTCTTCTAAAGATTTACTAATGGTTGTTCCCCTATCACTGTAAAGCAGCTAGGTCCTTCCACGCAGTCATGGAAAGAGGAATGGTGGCAACATCTTTCTCCCCCTTAAAACCAAAAATTTATACAAGTTATCTTTCTGCTCACCTGTTCCCTGCACAAACTGTGGAGAGATGCACACTGGAGGTTCATTAACAGGTTGTAGTAATATAGTCAGTGTCACAGTGACAGTGTTGAAACCCTTGTCAATGGCAAACACATGGAGTGGATAGGATCTTAGGGTAGTGCTGCTATCATAATCTAATACTTTTATTGTAGTCAAGATCCCTGTGACTAAAGACAAGAAAAGAAAATATTAATTTTCAGCATACAGACCTGTGAGATAACAGCTTAGGATCTCAAAGGATTAAGACCCAATGTTTAAGCCCTCCTTATAGTCTCTGTAGCTATGTCCATCATATCTGTGTACCTTATACTTGTTATTATCGCAAGGAAAAATCATCTTATTTATGACAGAATTTGCGACTCGGTAGACCAGCAAGTGCTTTATTTCTCTCTCACACCAGGCCAAGTGAGCCATAAAGGTCCCAACCATAAAGGAGGAAAGTGGCAACAAACCTTCCCACAGTGAGCAATGTTGTAAACAGCATCATACAAAACAATGGTCAGAAGTGAAGATTGCTCATACAACAGCAGCAACAATGAGGTGCTGATAAAAAATGCTGTCTCATCCTTGCAAGTGATAGGATAAAACTAGAAGAGGAGAGCCACGGTGACAGGAAGTAACTGAATGGGGATAGCCTTGGGGAGATGAATGAGAGTACACATAGGGAATCAGGCTGGAATATAGTGGAACAACTCCTCGCCTGGCCCACCCATCATTTGACTGTTACAAATTAAATAAATATACTTATGTGCATGTATATGTTTATTACATATTTACCTGGATCAATGGAAAACTCGTCAGAAGGACTAGCAAACTTAAAAGACACAATGTCACCAGCATCCTTATCACTGGCATTCATCTGCAGTACCACTGTTCCATTCAGAATATCATCTGTGACATTGACTGGATTTTCAGGGCTGAAACTTAAGATTAAGGATTGATTCTTACATTCACTCATTGAGATTAACAATACACATTGTTTTGCTAGATCAGAGTTTCAACAACATTTTTATTTTTAAAGAATAACTTGACAGTGCAAGTAATTTATTCTAATACTTAAGGTATAATTTCAGCTATAAATGACTGTGTTCCTAAGAAGCTAGTGCACTCAAGCCTTTCAATATCGACCTTACCTCACAACAGGGAGTTCATCATTCTCGTCAATGATGTTAATGGTCAGAGTTCCTTCACAGGACTTTTGTGGAGCTGGGATTCCTTTGTCTTTCACTGTAATTTCCAACTTGAAGACCTACATGTGATCAGCAAAACAGCTGCTAAACAATCCAACCTTACCTGTTGAACTCAAATTCAACTTAACAAATTCGACAACTTCTAAGTCTCTGCCTCATATTAACTGTCCATGTAATGGAATATATTGTGAGTTTACCCCAGCCTTCACACTGTGCTAAGAGACAAAATTTGCTTCATGTTGTTTAGAAAACTTCAAACACTAATTATGTTTTGGAGAATCACTTGCTAGGAGGAGAAGATTAAAAGCCTGGAGATAGCTAAAGAAATGGGTGCGAAAGCAAATTATTTTTCTTGCTTGCATAAATATCTGCTGCTTTTGTTCTAATACAGTTCTTTCTGTATGAAGTTGCTAAACTGATTGGCAGACAAATTAGGCAAAGAATGTTTAATTATGCAAATCAGTGTCCATATCCAGTTGATGATCCCAATTGTGACTTTAGGAAAAATGGGAAACCTCAGTGGCTCACTAAATTCAAGTTCTCCAAAATTTGAAAGGTATAAGCAGAACTCCTGCAAAACTGTTGGACACCTACCTCAAAGAGTCTTTTTGTTTGTGGACATTGCATAAATATCTTCTAGCATGGCATCAAACTGCTATCAACACCCTGTCCCTGACTCCTGCTACATCCTTATTTGCCAGCCAGCTGTAATCAATGGGCAGCCAATGTTTCTCCTCAGTGGACTAACAGACAGTTTCAGGTAGTTTATTGAGGAAATGTAAGTAGACCAACAATACAGTGTAAACAACAGTGTTTTGGGATTCTTGAATGTCATGTTGTGCAGTGGTCACACCACCAGCATCACTTCCATCAGGCTCTTAACCCAATCGTTCTTTTTAACAGTCTTTCCCAGTGGTAGATTTTTATGTTATTACAGACAGTTAGACCTGACTAGTAGTTAATAGCCTGGATTTTGCATCAAAATAATGCTGAGGCTATCAACATTCAACATTCTTATAGAGTAAATTTGACGATAATTTAAAGGGTCTAAAATGGATTACTAAATGTTGGAATCCGGACATTGTTGTCACATTTGTTTTGCTCCTCCACTTTGTGGTACACTGATATCTGGCTGACAGATGCCACACTAAAATCCATGGTTTTATGTTGTGGTACTCACTCGTTAATCACCTACTAATCACCCACTAAGCGTGCCAGAAATGTTAGGGCTGGTGCATTCAGTCTAATTGGTGTAAACAATTTTAGAATTTTAGAACAAACAGAAATTGCTGGAAAAACTCTAGCATCAGTGGACAAAAAGCAGAGTTAAAGTTTTGGGTCCAGTGACCCTTCTTCGGAACACTGCCAGACCTGCTGAGTTTTTCCAGCAATTTCTGTTTGCATTTCTGATTTCCAGTATCTGCAGTTCTTTAGTTATTTTTGTAAATGTATAAAAGTCGATGGATAGCTCTAAAAATGATGAATGACAAGTGCTGTTTTTTTACCACTGAAGTATCCAGGCCATTATCGTTACTCGCGATAGTATTGTACTTGCTCTGATATTTTCCTAAACAATCATTCCATCAATGCTTTTCTCAAAGCTCTAGTTTCTCACTAATTCGGTGTTTGTTCACTCTTGCCTTCAATGTTCGCAGAATTCCTGATTTCTAACATAAATGAAACAATAGATTGAGAAGGGAAAGAAAAATACTCAGTTCATTTGTTGCTACGGTGTGTCTATTTAAGAAAAGTTCAACAAATCCATTCAGAATCGTTCCATTTACCCTTCATGAAATAACTCAGCAGGTGTTCGTTTTGCATTGAGGTAAGCAATGTTGTTGAAGCAATTTATCCAAATGTCCCTTAGGGAAAAGAAGATCTACCATACTTAATTAGACTAGCTACAGCAAATGTGGTTGATCTTAATTGCCCAGAAGGCAGCTAAAGATGGTTATAAATGCCAGCCTAGCCATATCCCATGAACAAATAACTATAAAAAAATCCTGAAATCAATCAATTCCCTTGAGGAATATAAAGAAAACAGGAAAGAACTCAAACGAGGAATTAGGGACGATAGGAGCAGCCACGGAATACCCTTGGCAAGTAGGATTTAAGGAGAATAAGGCATGTTATACATGTATAAGGAGCAAGAGGATAACTAAGGAAAGGGTAAGTTCACACAAGGACAAAGAAGTAAATTTATGCATGAAGCCAGAGGAAGTGGGTGAGGTCCTTAAAGAGTACTTTGCATCAGTATTCAACAAGGAGAAGGACACGGATGATGGTAGATTAGAGAGGGGGATATTGATTTTTCTAGGACATGTTAATATTAAGAAGGAGAAGGTGCTGGGAGTCTTCAAAAACATTAAGATAGATAAGTAGTCACCAAGGTCTGATGGAATCTATCCCAGGTTACTGAGGAGGCAAGGGAAGGGATTGCTGGGACTTTGACAGAAATCTTTGTATCTTTTTTCGGTACATGGAAGATCCCAGAGACGGGAGAATAGACAATATTGTTCCTTTGTTTAAGAAGGGCAACAGAGATAATCCAGGGAATTATAGGCAGGTGAGCCTTACAACAGTGGTAAGGAAATTATTGGAGAAGATTTTTAGGAACAGGATTTTCTCACATCTGGAGAAGAATGGACTTATTTGGGATATTCAGCATAGTTTTATGCAGGGGAGGTCTTGTCTCACAAACTTGATTGAGTTTTTTGAGGAAGTGACAAAGATGATTGAGGGTAGGGCAGTGGATGTTGTCTACATGGATTTTACTGAAGCATTTGACAAGATTCCTCATGGAAAGCTGGTCCAGGAGATTAAGTCACATGGGATCCATGGTGAGTTGGCAAGTTGGATACAAAATTGGGTTGATCAGAGATAGTAAGAACTGCCGATGCCGGAGTCAGAGATAACACAGTGTGGAGCTGGAGGAACACAGCAGGCCAGGCAGCCCACTTCTGAAGAAGGGTCCTGACCCAAAATGTCAGCTTTCCTGCTCCTCTGATGCTGCCTGGCCTGCTGTGTTCCTCCAGCTCCACACTATGCGTTGATCAGAGATGTGGAAGAGTGTTTGTCTGGTTGATGGTCTGTGAAGTGTGGTGTTCTACAATGATCAATGCTCAGACCTCTGCTGTTTGCACTATATATAAATGATTTGGATGAAAAGCTTGATGGTCTAATTATAAGTTTGCAGTTGACATAAAAATTGATGGAATTGTGGATAATGAGGAAAGTTTTCAAAGGATACAGCAAGATATAGATAGTTGGAAATTGGGCAGAGAATTGGCAGATGGGAGTTAAATCTGGACAAGTGTGGGATAATGCATTTTGGGAGGTCAAACGCAACAGACAAGTACACCGTTAATGGCAGGACCCTTAAAAGCATTGATATGTAGGGGTATCTTGGGATGCATGTCCATAGCTCCCTAAAAGGGATAAGAAGTGGATAAGGTGGTAAAGAAGGCATCCAGCATGCTTGCCTTTACTGGTCTGTGCATTGGATATAAAAGCTGGTCAGTCATGTTGCAGTTTTATAAAACTTTAATTGGGCCAGAGTTGGAGTACTGTTGCAGTTCTCTCCCCACAACGTGGGAAGAAAGTGGATGCGTTGGACAGGGTGCAAAAGACGTTTACCAGGATGTTGCTTGGATTGGAGTGTGTTAAATACAAGGGGAGGTTGGACAAACTTGGATTGATTTCTCTAGAACATTGGAGGCTGAGTGGCAACCTGAAAAGTGTATAAAATTGAGAGGCATGAATACAGTGGATAGTCAGAGTCTTTTTCTCAGAGTGGACACGTCACACACCAGGGGTCATAGGTCATAGAAAATTGAAAGGACATGTGTGAGGAAAGTTTTCTTTTTTACACAGAGGGTGGTAGGTGCCTATAACGTGATGCCAGGAGAAGTGGGAGAAGCAGATACGTTGCAAATTTAAGAGGCATTTAGATAGACACATGAATAGGCAGAGAATAGAGGGACACAGACCATGTGCAGGAGGTGGGATTAGTTTAGGATGTCATTGTGGTCAGCAAACATGGTCACTTTAACTGTTGAGGAAATTTACGTGATATCCAGATTCATAATCCAGTGATGTTGAAGAATTTCGGTAGACAATTCCAGTTGCTGAATTAATAATGAAGAAATTTCCTCCTGTAACTGGGCCTGATGTCAGGGATTTAATATCAAACTGAAAAGAAACAGAAGGAGAGAATTATTTTCTTTCCTGCAAATTTCAAAAGGACACTTATGTTATTGGATGCATTCACTTCTCACACCCACATTTTCTCCCTTTCCCAATTGAAGGCAGCAACTTTTGTTTGGATGACAGCAGTCACATGAGACTCTCCCCAACAGTCGCTCTTCATGTTGGAGTGGAAATGTAAGTATTAACATTTCCAGTGAAGCCTGATCCTGCTCCTATCCAATGAGAGTGCACATTGAGTAATGTGACCAATGTGGCAGTAACTTTGACGATGACCTTGACAGCCAGGGGCAACCCTACCCTTGGCCATTTGTGGGACCCTCGGCTCATTTTGGTCATTAATTAGTTCCCATCAGGACACAGTCCCTTTAAAAGACAGGCACCCACCCCACGGGAGCTGCTGACCAATTGGATGACCAGTAGATCAACAGTCACAGTAGCTCCATCTAGGGTGGTGGTCACTGCTGGAGCTGCACCTGGAAGGTAAGGACCCTATGGAAATAGGCCACTCTCATCAGAGGGCTCTGGGGAGTTGATGGAAGTCAGATGGACGAGTTGGGTTTACTGAGGACAAGGGAGGTGTTACCACTGAATTAGCCTGCATTACCAGAGGGCCACATCTTGTCTGAATACATGGGTCCTCCCAACCGATCTCACAGGCACGGAACCATGTTTCACCAAGAGGTCTGAGCACATGGCAGAAGACCCACCTGCCACTTTCAAAACACCAGTGGTCATGGTAAGCGGTCCTTAATTGGTCACTTAGAGTCGCAGATTATACAGCACGGAAACAAACCCTTTGGTCCGACTTGTCTGCACCAGCCAGATATCCTAAACTGATCTGGTCTGATTTGCCAGGATTTGGCCCATATCCCTTTAAAACCTTCCTATCCATGTACATATACAGATGCCTTAAAAATTATAATTATACCCAACTCCACCAGCTCCCCTGGCAGCTCGTTTCACACATGCACCATCTTCTGAGTGAAAAATTGCCCCTCAGATCCCTATTGAATCCTCCACCTTTAAACCTATGTCCTTGACTTTTGGATTCCCCTACTCTGGGAAAAAGACCTTGGCTGTTCACCCAATCCATGCCCCTCATCATTTCATAAATCTCTAAGTTCACCCCTCAGCCTCCGATGCTCCAGGGATAAAAAGCCCCAGTCTATTCAGCCTGTTTATATATCTCAAATCCTCCAATCCTGGCAACATCCTTGTAAGTCTTTTCTGAACCCTTTCAAGTTTAGCAAAATCTTTCCTATAGAAGGGAAACCAGAATTGAACACAGTACTATAAAAATGCACTAACCAATGTCCTGTACAGTCACAATATGATGTCCCAACTCCTATACTCAATGCACTGACCAATGAAGGCACTGACCAAGTATGCCAAACGCCACCTTCACCATCCTGCCTACCTGCGACTCTACTTTCAGGGAACTATGCACCTGTACCCCTAGGTCTCTTTGTTCAGCAACACTCCCAAGGGCCCTAACACTAACTGGATAAGATCTGCCCTGTTTGCCTTCCAAAGTGCAACACCTCACATTTATCTAAATTAAACTCGACCTGCAGCACCCCCACCTCCCCCCCCCTCCCCCGCCAACCCATTGGCCCATCTGATCAACATCCCCTTGTACTCTGAATTAACCTACTTCACTGTCCACTACACCACCAATTTTGGTGTCATCTGCAAACTTACTAACCATACCTCCTATGGTCGCATTCAAATCATTTATATAAATGACGAAAAGCAGCAGATCCAGCACCAGTGTCCTTGTGGCATAATGCTGGTCATAGGGGTCCAGTCTGAAAAACTACCCTCTATCACCACCCTCTGTCTCCTACCTTCTAGCCAACTTTGTATCTAATTGGCTAGATCCCCCGGATTCCATGTGATCTAAACTTGCTAACCAGTCTACCACGTGGAACCTTATTGAATACTTTGCTGAAGTCCATAGGGACAATGTCTACTGCTCTGCCTTCATCAATCTTCTTTGTCACCTCTTCAAAAAACTCAAACAAATTAGTGAGACACAATTTCCCATGCACAAAGCCATGTTGATTATCCCAGATCAGTCCTTACCTTTCGAAATGCATGTAAATCCCCTCCAACAACTTACCCACTACAAGTGTAAGGCTCACTAGTCCATAGTTGCCTCGGTTTTCCTTACCATTTTTCTTACATTATGGCACCAGTCATTATTTAAGAAAAATAGGAGCAGGAGAAGACCATTCAATCCTTTAAGCCATTTCTGCCATTCAACATGATGAAGGTTTATCCTCTCTCTCAATGCCATTAACCTATCTCTTCCCATTTATCTTGACAACTTTAACTTCTAGAGATCTTTTTACTTATTTCCTAGACTTGTTCAGTAAGTTGGCCTCCTCAGCCTCCTGTCTTAGAGAATTCCACAGGATTACCAACTTCTGAGCGATAAAATATCCTCCTCTCAGACCATTAGACATGGGAACAAAATTAGGCCGTTCGACCCACGAAGTCTGCTCTGTCATTTGAACATGGCTGATATGTTTGTTAACCCCATTCTCCTGCCTTTTTCCCATAACCTTTGATCCATGACTAATCAAGAACTTGTCCGTCTCTGCCTTAAATACACTCTGATTTGCAATGAATTCCACAGATTCTATGATCTTGTGAAATTCACCACCTTCTGGCTGAAAATATTTCTCCTCATCTCAGTTCTAAAGGATCATCCCTTTAATCTGAGGCTGTGTTCGTGAGTCCTAGTCTTTCCTTTAACTGGAAACATCATCTCAACGTCCACTTTTATAAAAGCCTCTCAGTATTCTGTTGTGAAGTTGGGTAGAGTATTTTATGTTTGTAAAATGAGGGGGGGAAGAGTGCATGGTCCCTTTAAAAGATGATGTTTACTCTAGGTTTGGAGATTTTAAAAATGTACGCAGAGAGCTCCTGAAATTGAAACATTGTATCAAAAGGCTGTGTAGTTAACAACCCAGGCAGTAAATTTGTTTTGTTATTAAGGCAACCAGTTTGAAAATCAGCCAATTAATTTACACCAGGCACTTAGAGACTAAAAACTGATTAAGTTTAAATCTGATGATTTTCATAACCGAGGACCAAACCTATTGTAAGAAATTAATAGGTCATCAAGGGTATAAAAGAAGATGGCATTTGCAAATCTTTGTGAGAGCAATTGCCATCTGTTAGAGTTAACACTGGCACCTCTAAAGAGAAAACCACTGGCTTTCACAGAATTCTCTGAACTCTCAGAGTAACCATCATCTAACTAAAGGTAAAGCGGTACTCTTAGCTAGTATTCGTGATGTAAGAATTCAAGGGACAGAGGCGTTCCTGACACACAAATTTGACAGAGAAAGGTGTTCTGGGCTGAAGATCAGAGGACAGGGTGTGGAGACCTGGCTGTAATTTTGAGAGATTAAGTTTTAATTTATTTTATTATTATTATTTATAAAAGTCCGACTTGCATTTATTGGAACATCATAGCATTAGAATTTTGTTTTATTCAGGATTCATTAGAAGTTAAGGAGGAATTGTTCAGTTTATGAGTAGTTTTGCTAATTTGTTCACTGTTAGAGTTAGATAAATTAATTGTTACTTGTTGGTTATTAAGTGAGTGAAAGTATTTTACTATATTTAACCACTCCTTTATAAGATTGTAGAGCGAGAGGCAGGTTATACCACTTTTCACACTTCTTTTAACAGATTATGAGGCGAGGTGAGCCTCTCTGGGTGTTTCAGTTTTAGTTATCAGAGGAGGATTGACCTCCGTGTCATAACAATTCTGTAAGTTTCATTTGGATTGCCCTTCACATCCTTCTACATTCTATCAACCACAAACTTAGAGTCTCCACTTGCTCCTGATATGACAAGCTCTTTATCCCTGGGATCATTCTTGTAAACCTCCTCCGGACCCCATCCAACACCAGCACATCCTTCCTTAGGTACGTGGCCCAAAACTGCTCACAATGTTCCAAATGTGGTCTGACCAGAGCCTTCTACAACCTCAATAGTACGTCCCTGCTCTTGTATAACTAGCCCTCTCGGACTGAAAGCCAACATTGCATTTGATTTCCCAACTGCCAGCTGAACCTGCATGTTAACGTTAAGAGAATCCTGAATTGGCACTCCTATGTCTCTTTGTTCTTCAGATTTCTGAAGCCTTTCTCCATTTAGACAATAGTCTACATTTCTATTCTTACTACCAAAGTGTAACCTCACACTTTCCCACATTGTATTCAACCTGCAACTTCTTTGCTTACTCTCCTAGCCTGTCCAAATCCTTCTGCAGTCTCCTCATTTCCTCAGCACTACCTGTCCCTCCACTTATGTTTGTGTCATCTGCAAACCCAGCAACAATGCCCTCAGTTCCTTTGTCCAGGTCATTAATATATAGCATGAATAGTTGCAGTCCCAACACTGACTCCTGTAGAATTCCACGTGTCACTGACTGCCATCTTGAAAAAGAATAATTTATTCCCACTCTCAGCTTTTTGCCAGTCTGCCAATTCTTTATCCATGCCAGTACCTTGCCCCAATGCCATGGGCTCTTACCTTATTTAGTAGCTTCCTGTGCAGCACCTTGTCAAAGGCCTTTTGAAAATCCAAATAGATCACTTCCATTAGCTCTCCTTTGTCTAACTTGCACATTATCTCCTCAAAGAATTCTAACAGATTTGTCAGTCCTATCCTTGACAAAGCCATGCTGACTCTGTCCTATTTTACTATGCACATCTAAGTACTCTACAATCTCATGCTTAGTAATGGGCTCTAAAATCTTATCAAGGACCCTCCTCGACTTTAGTAATTCCTGAAAGATCACCACCAATACCTGCACAATCTCCTCAGCTAGGTCATTCAGAACTCTGGGGTGTAGTCCATTCAGACTGGGTGATTTATCCACTCTCAGACTTTTTAGCTTTCGCGGCACCTTCTCCTAAGTAGTGGCTACTACACTCACTTCTGCCCCCTGACTCTGTTGAATTTCTGGTCTACTACCAATGTCTTCCACTATGAAGACTGATACAGAGTACCTGTTAATTTCCTCTGCTTTTTATTTGTCCCTATTACTACTTCCTTAGCTATTTTCCAGTGGTCCAATGTCCACTCTTTCCTTCCTTTTACCTTTTTAGATATCTAAAAAAACTCTGGCAACCTTCTTTTATATTACTAGCTAGGGTAGCCTCATATTTTGTCATCTCTCCCATATTACTCTTTTTTTAGTCTCCTCTGCTGGTTTTTAAAGGCTTTCCACTCCTGTGGCTTCCCACTAATCTTCTCCACATTGTATGCTTTTTCTTTTGCTTTTATGCTGTCCCTGACTTCCATTGTCAGCAATGGCTATCTCTTCCTCCCCTTTGCACAGTGTGTTTCAACTTCCTTTAATGAATTTCTGCTGTGCCTCCCAAATTACCCCCAGAAACTCCTGCCATTTCTGCTCCACATTCTTCCCTGCTAGGCTCCACTTCCAATCAACTCTGGCTAGCTTCCCTCTCATGTCTTTGTAACTGCTTTTTACCCAGTTGTAATACTGTTTACATCTGATTCCAGCTTTTCTCTCAAACTGCATCCAATACTCTCACATTATGGTCACTGCTCCCTATAGATTCCTTCACCATAAGCTCCCTAATCAAGTCTGCCTCATTACACATCACCAAATCCAGAATTGCCTGTCCCCTAAGTGGGTGCTACCACAAGTTACTCCCAAAAAAAAAATTTCGTATAAAATTCACGAATTGCTATTAACCCGATTTTCCAAGTCCACCTGCATATTGAAGTTCCCTACGATTATTTTTTAGTGCCTTTTATTTTCTTCCCTACATGCTGACTGCTGCTAGAAGACCTGTATGTAACTCCTGTCTGGGTCTTTTCTTCCTTTGCTGTTCATCAACTTTACCCACACAGATTCTATGCCTCCAATCCTATAATCGCTTCTTGCTATCAGTTCAATTATGTTTCTTACTAACAAGACAACTGTCCCCTCTGCTCATCTGTCTGTCCTTAGATAGGACCATATCCTTGAATATTTAGTTCCCAACCCTGATTCCCTTGCATCCACATATCTGCCATGCCCACAACATTATACCCACCAGTTTCAATCTGTACTACAAGCTCATTAACTTTGTTTCATATTATGGATTTACCACCATCCCACTCCCCCATTATAGTTGACCCCTTATCTGCTGTGCCTGAAGTTAGATTCCTGACTCTTTCCATGCTTTATGTCCGAGTCTTTATTCTGGAAACTTTAATTACCTCTCCTGAGCCCTGCTACCCCCTTGATCCCCATCCCTTGCCACACACTCCCCAAACTACTTTAAAGTCCACATGACCTTGAATTTACCTTAGTTTCTGTCATTAATTTGTATATCCTTTTGCTTACTGCACATCTTGAGACAATCCTCCCATCTGCTAAATACCTTGGCCAGAGGAAACATCAACTCTATATGCAGTCTGCCCATCCCCGACAGAGATTTAGATGTTTCAGTGTGATCACCTCTCATTTTTCCAAACTCCAATGAATACAGACCCAGTCAACTCATGCCTTATTTTGCGATAAACGTCCAATCCCAGGAATCAGACTGGTGAACCTCTGCTGCAATCTCCCTATTATATTTTGGGTAAGGAGACCAAAATCGCACACAATATTCCAAATGTGGTCTCATCAAGGTTCTGCGCAGCTGCAGTAAGATTTTCTTATTCCTGTACTCAAAGTCTCTTGCAATAGAGGCCAATGTAACATTTGCCATCCTAACAATAGCTTACAATGACCTGTGTAACATCCAAGATCTTTTGTACATCGACATTTTCCAATCTATGACCATTTAAATTACACTCTGCCCATTCTGTTTTTCTTACTGAAGTGGACAATCTTACACTTATTCATGTTAAACTGCATCTGGCATGCATTTGTCCACTCAGCTAATTTGTTTAAATTGCTCTGAAGCCTGTTTACATCATTTCATACCATTCACAATTCCATCTAGATTTTTGTAATCAGCAAAATTAGAAATATTACATTTTATATCCTCATCCAAATTGTTGATTTATATTATGAGTAGAGGTAACTGTAATAGTAATCCCTGGAGGACTCCATTTGTCACCAACTTCCACTCAGAAACTGAGCCATTTATTTCTACTCTTTTTGCTTGTCTGGAAACCAATTTTCAATTTATTTGACCATATTACCAACAATCTCATGTTATGTGGGACTTTATCAAAAGCTTTTTGTAAATCCAAATATGTTGCATGGAGTGGTTCCCCTTATCTATTCAACTCAAAAAAAAACTCCAATAGATTTATCAAACATGATTTTTCTTCCATAAATCCATGTTGACTTTATGTAATCCCCATTGGTATTTTCTGAGTGTCCTGTTATTACATCCTTTACAATTGAGCAGCAGTTTTCATACTACTGACACTTGGCTAACTGATCTGTAATTTCTGGTTTTCTCCATTTAAAAAAAAATTGAGGTTACATTTGTTACATTCCAATGTGCCGGTACTATTCCAGAAACTACAGAATTTTGAAAGATGACAACCCATGCATCCCCTTTTTCCACAGCCTGAGGAATTTACTTCAGTAGCCTGAGGCATAGAATATCAGACCCGCAATATTTATCAGCTTTCAATGTCATTAATTTGTCCTGTACTTTCTCTTTATATACTAGTTTCCATCAATTCCTCCTTCTTAATAGAGCCTCCCTTCCATAGCATTTCTGAAAAGTTATTGGTCTCTTCTTCCGTGAAGTCAGAACTAAAGTAATTGTTTAATTGCGCTACCATTTTGGTGTTCTTCATGATCAAGTCTCCCATTTCAGATTGTAATTTGTCTGCACCAACTTTTCTTTTTTACATTCTTCCAGTCCACTCTTCTGTTCGTCACAAGTTTATTCTCATACTTTATTTTTCTCTTAGTCAACTTCTTTGTCCTCCTTTGAATTCTAAACTGCTCCCAATCTTCAGACTTGATATTTTTTCTACAAATTTGATATAAAATCACCATAAGTGAAGTCACTGTAGTCTTAGCAGACTATAGGGATGCTCTCTCATTAGACAGAGATGACTGGAGGTGGTTTAACCTGAGGGTCACCACGCCACAGGTGAGGGCAGAGGTTGAGAAGGAGAATCCTTCATGGTAACCTCAAGTTGGTGTGGGTTCTGAACCCATGCTGTTGGCATTGCTCTACATTGCAAACCAGCTGTCCAGCTAACTGATTCGTAACTTTATATACCTCCTCTTTGAATACAGTACAATCCTTAACTTAGCCATGGTCGGATCATTTTCCAATTTTATTGTTTCAACTGAAAGGAATGGGTAACTGCAATGCCTGAATTTGTTCCCTAAATGTTAGACTTTGCAAATCAAATATCATGGTTTTTCATGAAATTACATAATTTATCACAGTCAACTCACTACTCAGATAACAGGGTGTACAGCGGGATGAACACAGCAGGCCTAGCAGCATCAGAGGAGCGGGAAAGCTGATGTTTCGGGCCTGGACCCTTCTTCAGAAAAAGGGTCTGAAGAAGGGTCCAGACCCGAAACGTCAGCTTTCCCGCTCCTCTGATGCTGCTTGGCCTGCTGTGCTCATCCAGCTCTATACCTTGTTATCTCAGATTCTCCAGCATCGGCAGTTCCTACTATCTCCAACTCACTACTCATACCTTTATAGTATCCTTTTTTAAAAAAAATTTTGGACCCTAATTTTGAATTGAACTATTTTACTTTCCATCCCAAAGAAGAATTCTAATGTGTTAGGGTCACTTTTTCCCCAGAGGCTCTTTCACAACTGGATCATTTAATAGGCTCTTCTCATTGCTCAAAATCAAACCTAGGATAGCATGTGTCCTGATTTGTTCCACAACATACTGGTCTATAAAGATATCTCATACACACTCCTACAAGGCTGATAATTTCCTCAGCCAAAACCCTTTCTCATTGTTGCACTGATTATATTTTTACCAGCCATGCCACCTCACCTTGTCCTTTTTGCGTGTCCTTCCTGGAGTTTGAATCACTTTGGATGGTAAATTCCCAGCTTTGGTTGCCCCATTAGCATTTCTCCATTTTCAAAATCATACCATACCTGGTTACAACTGTAGATACCATTAATTCATCTACCTTATTGAGAATGCTCCATGAAGTCAGACATAGTACCTTTTAGACTAATCTTCTTGACATTTTTACATTTCTTGTGTCCAAAGGCCCTGATAACTGTTCACTGTCATTTCCTCCGCCTTCCAGTTTTGCTTTTTACTTTTCTTTGATTTCCTCACTCGTCTTGTATTAAAAGGCAGAGCAGGCTCGATGTATAGAACATCTTATTCCTTTTCTATGTCCCACTGGATCAGAATCCTTTCTGACATCTATGGTTGGTTATCTTACTGGGAGCGTAGCTATTCCACAAAGAAGGTGCTGAAATCAAGTTAGTGACATAAGTTTGGTTCCCTTCATGTTGTTATCCTGAACAGTCTTCATTAATTGACACAATCACCACTAATTCCTATAGATCATTGTTTTCAAGTATATAGCAATTAATTTAATACTGTAGCAAATATCACAGAAGGAAAACCTTACTGTTAAAGAGTCCTCAAAATCGGGATCTGTTGCAGAAACCTGGTAGATGGCTGTTAGGACATCATGTGTCTCATTAATATCTACTGATGCTGCAATTGAAGAACAAACAAGATTAGCATTCTGCTCACTCTTGATGCTTCTGCATTTAACATATGTTCACAATCCTATAGTATAATTTCGGATGCAATGTTAATTTGCTTGCTATTTTAATGGTGACAGAAGAGGAATTTTTTTTTGGTCCACATCTGATCTGGTTCAAGAATTTCAGTAATTACATCCCCCCAGTGCCATTCTGGTACACTTCATCAATAAAGAGTATTGTACATTGGAACAGTGATACTATTATCAGGGTTCTGAACAAATGCCCTTTTGATTATTATCTGCTCCCTTGAAGACTGTGGACAAAACACCAGGGCTGTGTATTTGTCGATTTAACCAGAGAATCTTGGTGAACATTTCTGGGTCTGGTCCAAGGCCTCTTGGCTTGGATTGCATACAGACCTTGAAATGCTTCAACTCTGTGAACTGGATATAGTTTCAGTTGCTGATGTTTGTAGTTCTGGACACTGATTATGCCAGAAGAACTCAATATAATCCCAGTCTGGGAGATAACTAATCCATAGAATCTCTACAGTGCATAGAGAGGTCATTCAGCCCATTGAATCTGCACCAATTCTCTGAACAGTGTCCTGCCCAGACGCAGACCCCTTCCCTATCTCCGTAACCTCACATTTACCATGGCTAAACCACCTAGCCCACACATTCCTGGACACCATAGGACAATTTAGCATGGCCAATCCACCTGACCTGCACATCTTTAGACAGTATGGGTAGAGAATGTTTGATCCAGCATTCATCATGCAACACCATTCATTGTTATTTCTCCTTGAGCCCTGGGAATTCCATTGAGTCAAGTAGAGACTGTATAACAACTATGGTGGCACAATGGCTCAGTGATTAGCACTACTGCCTCACAGCGCCAGGAACGCAGGTTCAATTCCAGCCTCAGGCGACTGTCTGTGTGGAGTTTGCATATTCTCCCAGTGTCTGCATGGGTTTCCTCCGGGTGCTCCGGTTTCCTCCCACAGTCCAAAGATGTGCAGGCGAGGTGGATTGGCCATACTAAATTGCCCGTAGTGTTCAGGGATGTGTAGATTAGGTGGGTTATAGGGGGATGGGTCTGGGTGGGATGCTCTGAGGGTCAGTGTAGACTTGTTGGGCTGAAGGGCCTGTTTCCACACTGTAGGGATTCTATGATGATTTTCTTTTCACTTTTCTTCAATTGTTTGCCATAATGAAGAAATAATATAGTTTCTGAAATGTGGGTTATCAATGTAAGACTGCAATCAACAGCTAATAAAAAGAAAATTATTTATCCTACAATTATAACTGTTCATGCTGTGAATGCATTAATATCTGGTAAAATAGTGTACAAAAGTAATTTGTCTCAACATTAATATTAGAAACAGTGTTTCCATTCATCTCAAATAATATCCATTGTGTGCATTTTAGTTGTAGATAGGCTTCGGTGCTCCTTGGATAATTATTTCAGGTGCAATTTTTTTTCTTTGTCGTGTCATCTTAATGAGTCAAAACATCACCTTAAACACCAGACCTCTGCTTTCAAAGATCCTCCGGCCTGGATTTTAGTTTCAGGGGTTGGAATATTTTGATCAATATGTACCTAATAGTGTAATGGTTAAGCCAGATGCTTTTCTTCCCTAAATACAAAAAAAAAATGCTGGCACTCAGCAGATCAGGCATCTGTGGAAAGAAGCAGTATTAGGATTTTTTGTCCATGACCTTTCATCAGAACAGCTGTTAGATAGAATCACAACAGTTTTGAAGCCAGTTTGTGGGATGTGTGTTGGAGGGAGAGGAGCAGAAAGAACAAAAGGGAATGACTATATTGTGGGGGGGTGGGGGGAGGGAGGTCAAGGGTCATTAATCAACAAAACATTTTGTGATATGAAAGAAAAGAGAATGGTGATGAGTTTCCAAACATATTCAGGTTCTGTCTTTAACAAGGACGTGAACATAAAAAACAGCCATATGGTTGTAATGTGAAAAACACACAAACAAATGAAGACAGTGATTATGAAAGTTGTTGAATCTAAGCCTAGAAGACTGGAGAGTGTCACAATGGAAGATAAAGATCTGTTCCTTGAGCTTTGCACATATTCCTCTCAAACGCATAATTAAATGTTTTAGCATCAGGATTAAACAAAGTGAATATTTATGGTGTGACAGAATTCATGTTCATTTTGATTTCCCAAAACTGAAAAATATAAATGAGTACCATTTAGCTTAGCAGGAAAAAAATATATACTCATGCCACATTTTACCAAATAACTCCACTAGGGCAGATTCTGAACTTCACAATCTTATACTGTATTTTTCCTGGAAGCCATGTTGAGGACAGACTGTTGCTGGAAAATATTGACTCGATGTTATCAGAACAGATTCCAATTCATTGCAATCATTATTCAATTAAAAACCAAGATTAATAATTTAAGTATCTTCACCTGTCCCTGCTGTAAATACAGCATCGCATATTGGATCTTCATTGACCGGAATCAATGAAACATTCAGGTTGCACATTGCTTGGTTCCCTCCCAGGTCTGTAACCACCACATTTAATGTATAGAATGTGGCCACAGACACATTGTCATAGTCCAACGTGAATGTATTGGTGATTATTGCAGTGTCTCCAACTGAAAGACCAAAACAAAAAGATGTATTTCAGCCAGTAAAAGCTCAGGAAAATGGTATTTCCTATTAAACATAACCACATGACAGTTTGATACTGCTGGTTGAGCTGGTCTGCAAATTATGAGTAGTGAAGAACAATAGACAGAGTGTGAGCAAGCCAAAGGATTATCTTGAATGAGAAATGAAATGTTACAAAAGAGGGATGCATGTTCCTCTAGAAGAAGCACTTGAAGATTCTATACAGCTCTCATTAATGGCCTGGTTTTGTTAATCTGTGAACCCTCCCGTAGGTTTCTGCAGCATGTAGCCTATTTAAATTCATCTGGTTCCCTCTCTGACCCATATTGGAGCAAACTTATACAACCAATATGTTAAAGTGCAATATAAAGGTATAAAAATAGCTGCATGATCTGCATAAATTCTCATCATGACACAGAATAGTTTCATAAAGGAAAATGATTGCAAAAAACCTCATATATAAAGAGCAACGTCATAGATTTGCAAGAACAATCCAGAGTCAAACAAAACTGAAGTATCAAATGAAATGGTATAGCATGCAAATATCAGACATATCATGATAAAGAGTGATCATGTGCGTTGACATGCGCACATACAAACAAAAATGTATAATATAAGAAAACTTCCAAACACAAACAGCCTAGTAAAGAGATGCATAATTCCTGGAAAAATAATAACATGCAATAATGCAAGAGGCAGAAACATCGCATGAAGACCTCATCATTATCACTGTCCTGTGTGATTTGCAATAGGTTATGGTGTTCCTACCTTGGGAAATTTGAAAGGAAGGTTCATTTACTGCAAAGCTGAAAGTCAGGCTATCATTGCTATCACCATCTGAAGCAGATAAAGTGATCAGTGTTGTCCCAGCAGCCACTTCTTCATAAGGGGTTAAAGTATTTGATGGACAGGGGCTGAAAACATAAGCTGGATTACTATTTAGTAAATCATAGAACCATCACGCCAAATGAGAACTGTTTCTATCTTGTCAACATGGTAATAATGTTTAACATACCTGATGATGGGAACTTCATCATTTACGTCAGTAATTGTGATAGTTACTGTGCCTGTGCAAGAGAGGCTTGGAGATCCAGTGTCATTAATAGATACCACAGCGTAGAAAAGCTAAAGGCAAAGAACAAAACTCAGGATTAAATCAATTAATGAGATCTATGTCACAGGTTTGTACATCAAGTAGAATAAGGTATCTGTGCTGAAGATACTCTGATTAATCAATAGTAAAATGTATATTTCATACCATGTGACCATTTTCAAAATCCAAAGTAGATGCTGTAGTAATTAGACCCAAGTTGTCCAGGTTAAATAGTGCGGTGGTATTGGTGGAGGAGCTTGGTAGGAAAAAATACTTGAAAAATAAGAGAAAGTTATATTTCTGTCGGTTAATATTCAATTCTTTGATGAGCATTTAGATTAACTTCATTTTCTGCCCTGTTTGACTCTTGTTCAGATTTGTTCAAATCAAACAGAATTGGAATTCTAGTTTCTTCCAGATTTGGATTTGCACCATGTTATCTGCAAGTCTCCCACCAAGATCTCAGAAAATCAATTCCAAAGTGAAAGTCGACTGTCTATGAGGTGATCTCTTATGCCAATGTTTAAGGAATGTCAAGGTTTTCACAATGTTTGAGAAGCTAACAAAGGTGTAATTGAAAAGTGAGGATAGAGACAGCGGGACAAGAATTGGGGAAAGTATATAATGCGGGAGAAAGGAAGACGGAAGAAGTGATGGGGCAAACTGGGACAGATAAAAGTAAATAAACAGGCAAAGTTTAAGGTAAATGTGAAAAGAACAAGGAGAAGAAAGGAAATGACTTCTCAAGGTGGTGCAGTAGAGAGGGGGCTACGGGTGAATGGAGAGGGCATTGGACAATAAGGGAATGAGGGAGGGCTGTTCAAAGATTAAATTGGGAAGATATGCGGAAGAGAAAGAGAGTGAAGAAGATGGAAGTCGAAGTTTAGAATTAACGGGCTATCAGGGCAGGAAGACAAGCAGAAGAGATAGAGGAGGAAGAAGACAAGGAAAAAGAACTAATGAGTAATGGTCATTTCCAAGAAGAGGAGGACATCAGTTTCTCTCAACCAGTGCCCCTACAATCAAATGTTTGAGATCTCCATTCAACAGAATTTTAATTTAATGTTAAACAACATGAACACCAGTACTGTGAGAGTGTATACCCCTGATTCTCCTCTAATCTCTGACTATCCTCCATAAACCATCACATACATCTTATTGTAACAAGCCCCAAAAGGGTTCCAAAGTTAACTTGCATATCTTAAGCTTATTCAAGATCAGAAACACTACTTATTTAAAAGGAAAAGACTTACCTGTAAAGGATCTTCATCAGGATCAGATGCAGTTAACTTATAAACAGAAGCACCAATAGCAATGGTCTCTGGAATAGTAACAGATGGTCCTGTACCAAACGAAATACACTTCATGTAAACAGTGTTATATTGATATTTAAGTTATATGTTAATAGCAGTAAAATTGATTATTTTTCTGATTTTCAATGATGAAATATTTTAATAACCTCACAGAGGTCTTCACTTTCTTGCTAGCATTTATCCCAGTGGAAAAAGTATTTGCCATAATAATTGAGGATTGAAGATTTTGTGGCCTGATTTAATATTTCTTGATGACTGCCTTCATGAATAGCCACCATGTAGATCAGAGGGAAATGTATTAGTTTTGAACTTGGGTGGCCTGCTGTTCAGAAATATCTACAGCAGAGGGCTGGGTTCAGGGATGGCACTTGCAATGAGAGAAATTCAAGGTGTGCAGTTAGTGTGTAGCTCAGAGCTCAGAAGTAAGGATCCTTGAAGGAGGAGTGTTTGTGGAGAGGACAGCGTGGTGGAAATATTACAACAGCCAATTTTTTTTGACAGGCTGGAGGGAGGAACTGCTGCTTTCTCTTGGTCCGCACCTTTAATACTGGAAAAACACTTTCTTTCTCAAAATGAGATAGTAAGAACTACCGATGCTAGAGTTGGAGATAACGCAGTGTGGAGCTGGAGGAGCACAGCGGGCCAGGCAGCATCAGAGGAGCAGGAAAGTTGACGTTTCTGATCAGGACCCATTCTGAAGAAGGGTCCCGACCCGAAATGTCAACGTTCCTGATCCTCTGATCCTGCCTGGCCCAATTTGCTCCTCCATCTCCACATGGTATTATCTCCTTTCTCAAAATGGCACCTTGCGCTACCCTTTAGTTGCCATGCTGCCCCAACACTAGAACACCAGCCATTAAATTAAACATATATATTTGCATTGGCCTGGATAATTGATACAAGAGTCTTTCAGCTGTATCTTTGATTTGATTTTCTTTTGAGTGCAGATATTTGCTGAAAATGTTTAAGTTGTAAACTTCTCCTAATATACTGGCAGCAATATCTTTTTCAAGGTCATTCTCTCTTATGCACAATCAGACTCTTGTTCCCATTATGACAGGGAACTCCTGCTATGCAGTGACATAGCACAAGAATTACAACAATATGAGTGCAGTTCAATGTGACAGATTTCTATCTTCTTTCTGTTGTATGTAAGAATGGCACGGAAGAAATGAATAGATTTGCATGCATTCTAAATCAATAATTGATTCTTGAGAAACAAAACCTGGATTAGACAGAATTTATGAGTGAATGTAAATCTAATTAATTACAATCACTATTTAATATCTCTCAATAGTAATAATGGAAATATCTTCACCTGTCCCTGTTGTAAATACAGCATCACATATTGGATCTTCATTGATGGGAATCAATGAAACATTCAGGTTGCATATTGCTTGGTTCCCTCCCAAGTCTGTAGCTACCACATTTAATGTATAGAATGTGGCCACAGACCCATTGTCATAGTCCAGTGTGAAAGCACTAGTGATTATTGCAGTATCTCCAACTGAAAGACAAAGAAGCATCAGTTTCAGGTATTATTGGACATTATTGTGTGAGGATTTGAAACTACTGGTAGATTCTGTCAATAAGTCATGAGCAATGGAAAGCAATGGTCAGATTGTGTCGGGGGAATGAGGTTTTCCATCAAAGAGAAATGAACTGCTTGTCAAAATGTTTGCAACGATCACTGTTGTCAAGGTAACCACATTTGCCCTTCAGAACAAATGACTGAATTGCTTCTTTTACATCACTCTGACTCAGATATGTTTCTCTGAGCACGCTCCTGAAAAGGTCTGCCTTGTACAACACATGCACATTATAATTAATTTTGATAGCTCTCTAACTCATTACAAGAAAATAAACTAATCAATAGGTAAAATGGCAAAATAATGGCACACAAATTACCACAATTTATTATACAAATATACATTAACCAAATAAAAGAGTTGCACGAAGAAAAAGCATTGCAAGAAACCATAAAACTAATGCAAAAACTGACAAATCTGAGCTGTATGACACATACTCATTGCAGAGATCAAACAACACTAAAGCTCAGATTGATTAGCACTGGTCATAGGGAGAGAAAGACAGATATGGCCACAGGAGCCATATCCTAACAATAGTAAGAATGATTTTATCCACGCACAAAACAATGAGACTTGAAGTAAGAAAACATCATATTCACAGAATCAAGCACACAAATATCAGAGAAATGAGAAACATGACTTTGAACAAAGAAACATCAGTGAACAGACAAAAAAAAGCGTGAAAACTGACACCACAGAGAGAAATATTATACACCAGATTTCATTGTACCAAATGTCCTATGTAATTTGCAATAGTTAATAGTGTTCCTACCTTGATTAATTTGAAAAGAAGGCTCATTTACTGCAAAGCTGAAGGTCAGGCTATCATTGCTATCGTCATCTGAGGCAGAAAAAGTGATCAGTGTTGTCCCAGCAGCCATTTCTTCATAAGGGGTTAACGTACTTGATGGACAGGGGCTGAAAACATAAGATAGATTCCTATTTAGTAAATGAAAGAACCATCAGTGCAAGTGAGAACTGTTTCTATCTTGTCAACATGGTCATAATGTTTAACGTACCTAATGATGGGAACTTCATCCTTTATATCAGTAATTGTGATAGTTACTGTGCCTGTACAAGCGAGGCTTGGAGATCCAGTGTCATTAATAGATATCACAGCGTAGAAAAGCTAAAGGCAAAGAACAAAACTCAGGATTAAATCAATTAATGAGATGTATGTCACAGATCTGTACATTGAGTAAAAGAAGGCATCTGTGCTAAAGATGCTCTTACTAATCAATAGTAAAATTATATTTCATACCATGTGACCATTTTCAAAATCCAAAGTAGATGCTGTGGTAATTAGACCCAAGTTGTCCAGGTTAAATAGTGCGGTGGTATTGGTGGAGGAGCTCTGTAGAAAAGAATACTTGGGGGAAAGAAAAGTGGAAGTTATATTTCTGTCAGTCCAATGTTCAATTATTGAGATAAGCATTTAGATAAACTTCACTCTTTGTTCTATTTCAATCTTTTTGTTTATTAGATCTAACACGACCTATTGGAATTCAGATTTCTTCCAGATTCAGATTCCGATTTTAATGTCCAGTGATTGACTCCACCTCAATCTTCGTTAACAAACTCCATAGTGAAGATCAACTGTCTGCTCTAGACCATCCCTTGTGCTGGTGTATTTGGAAAGTCTAAACCCAGCAAGATAACTCCAGAGGGAGAATTGTGTTGCTTCTATTCAGTTCTCTAGAGGCAATTCAAATGTTCAGAGAACCACAGGGTAAGATCCATTATTTTGTTTTGAGCCAAGAGTATGACAAGGAATTAGGCTCCCATTGAACATCAGAGTCAGATCCATGATTGAACACCATGCTGTTGGTTTTAATCTGTTGACCATCTAGCCAAATGAGCTAACTGCACTCCATGAAAAGATGAGTGAAGTGAAATGAAGATGGGAAATGTGTTGGTGGAAGGAAAGGCAGAGGATTTGGAAAGATGAGGAAAGGTCAGAGAAGGATTAGAAAAAAGAAGAAATTAGCAGAGGAGAAAAACAGAAGAATAAAGGGGAATGAGAAAGGGAAGGTGGAGAAAAGGAGCACCTTTTTTGAAATAGAATGGGAAATGAAACAAAGAGAATGAAGGAAGGACGGTAAAAATTTAACTGGAAAGCAGAGCTCAAAATATAGGGGTCAGTGAATGAATTCACCACCAAAAGGCCTGAAAATGCTGAGGAAAATCATATCACAAGGGTAACCAGAGAAAAGTCAGCCCATATGAGAGAGACAGAGAGGGAAAGACAGCTTCAGTGAGGAGCTGCTCCTCCTTCAAACTCAGATTATATCTCACTCATTTGCAGCTGATAGGCTAAGCAGTGACCTTAGCAGCAGCAGATACAGGAGAGAACCACTCGGCTACTGATTTGAGTAGCTGGAAGGTAGTTTGGCTGCTGGGGGCATGTTGCTGAGATTGCCGTGCGATGGGTTTGGAGGTGCTGTCTGCTGGGTGTTATGGTAAGAAGGTGAAAGGAGGAGGCAGCTGGGTAGGAGGGTAGTTGGAGTTTGCTGGAGAGAGGAAGAGAGGAAGAAAGCAGCAGAGTAAGATAGAAATGACTGTAAGGGCAGAGCTGGGGTAGCAGGAAGCAGCAAATGCAAGGATGGGACCTGCAGAGTTTTTTTTCTTTATTCATTCATGGGATGAGAGCATCACTGGCTAGGCAGCATTTATTGCCCATCCCTGATTGCCCAGAGGGCAGGTAAGCATCAACCACTTAACTTAGAGTGTAGATATATCACAGGCCAAGTTTTGAAAGACTTAGACAAATAAGTACAGGATGCATGTCGTGCAAACCTTTGTGCTTAGTTTTAGGAATTAATGGAAGCATGATTCAGCAGGTCTTCATTAGAACATTCTCCACTCTGGTCCTAACTCTTTATAATCTATTGTCACTAATAACGTAGTCTAGCTAACATCATATGCTGTTAACTCCATGGGTTACAAAAAGAGGAAAGCTACAACTGCAGGTGAGGCTGGAGAAGGAGACTGCAAGTGCAAGAAGCAGTCAGAGAAGATGGCAAAAGAGAGAGAACAGCTTTAAACCTATCAGTAAATGACTCATCACCTAACTGGAAGCAAGGAAACCTGGAAATCACGAGGGTGATGAATTCCTTCAAAATGAATATGGAATCTGTAGCTTAACGCTGCATAGGTTCAAGAGCTTTGATGAGGGAAAGAACGTGCTAGACAATGTGGCAACAAACACTGTGTCAATTGTAATGTTTAAATTGGAGACCGAGATTTGAGATCTAGTAAAAAGAGAATCTGGTTAAAATGTTTTCGCTTTGTGCATTTGTGGTGGGAACATATTAGTGAAGTCACAGCTAACATGTCTTGCGTGATGTGAGTTTTTGTGAGGAAGTGCACTTCAACTGTTTTGATAAACTTCTGTGGCAAATTATGCCTATTTTCTTGTGCCAATTTAAATACTGTGGCATCTGGGCAATTAATGCTTCCCTTGCC